GATTTTTCAAGAATACTTGAAATAATGGGAACAGCTTTGGTGCCTTGCCAGAAGAAATTGTGTAACTGAACCATCAGTAGCTTTTTTCTTTTTTTCTTTTTTTCTTTTTTTTTTTGTGTTGAATTTATTCATAAAAACATTGTTTTCCAGCATTCTGTTTAGATGCAGTGGGAACCCTATATTTAAGTATTTATGTAAAATATGAGTTGAAATCTTGCCTTGCAACCAAGCAAACAAGGCCTAGTTGGGAATTTCAAAGGAAACCCTGAATTTTGAGTGAACTTATGTAATTTCATTTGCATATTAATGTCAGCTTGAATTTGTATGAACGGAGAGAAAAGCAAAAAACGAGTATTAAGACAATACGAAGCCCTGAGCAGCTGCTCAAGTGCCATTTTTATCCACATCTCCCTCGTTTTTCCCCAAACTCCAAACACACAAAAGAAGTTGATTTACACTGTAAATTCAGGCTGAGCAAAATCCAATTGGAGCTCACTCGAGCTCCGTTTTGATGTCAGATTCAAAGCTCCTGCAGATTCATTTTATCTCCTCCGCTCGCCCGGCTCCCGCTCGTAAATCCTGTTGAAGGAGAATAGGAATGAGCGCGGCCTGATGGGAATTTCATGTGTGAAGTTCAAAGCAGTTTGCACATCAGAGGCAGCGTCAATCAAGGCAGGATCTGGGGAGGCAGGCGGGGAGCGCGGAGCTCCGTGGGGACCGGATCAAAGTGGGAGTGGCGGCTCTGTTTGCTCCCTCGGGATGCAGCTTCCAGCCCTTCTTCATTAAAGGGAATCCAGGAGCAGGACAGGGAGAAAGGGGGATGGGCTGCAGGAGGCTGCCTTGGAAGTGAATCTCAGCCAATGGCTTTTATTGGCTTTAAATCTGGTAAAAAAGCGCTCAAAATTACAGCTTGGTCATTTTGGTGCGGGGGTTTTGGGTGAGGGTTTTGGAGGGTTTTGCTGAGTGTTGTCATCTGGGATATTTTGGGTGAAATCTCAAGAGGCTTTTATTGGCCTTGTAGTGCTTCTGGGAAAAGTGGGAGACACTGGTGAAAATCAAGGGAGGCACTGGTGAAAATCAAGGGAGGCACTGGTGAAAATCAAGGGAAACAGTGGTGAAAATCAAGGGAGTCACTGGTGAAAATCAAGGGAAACAGTGGTGAAAATCAAGGGGGACACCGGTGAAAATCAAGGGAGACACCGGTGAAAATCAGGGGAAACACTGGTGAAAATCAAGGGAGGCACCAGTGAAAATCAGGGGAAACACTGGTGAAAATCAAGGGAGGCACTGGTGAAAATCAAGGGAGACACCGGTGAAAATCAAGGGAGACACCGGTGAAAATCAAGGGAGACACCGGGGAAAATCAAGGGAAACACCGGTGAAAATCAAGGGAAACACTGGTGAAAATCAAGGGAGGCACCGGTGAAAATCAAGGGAGGCACCGGTGAAAATCAAGGGAGACACTGGTGAAAATCAAGGGAAACACTGGTGAAAATCAAGGGAGACACTGGTGAAAATCAAGGGAGGCACAGGGGAAAATCAAGGGAGACACTGGTGGAAATCAAGGGAGGCACAGGGGAAAATCAAGGGAAACACTGGTGAAAATCAAGGGAGGCACCGGTGAAAATCAAGGGAGACACTGGTGAAAATCAAGGGAGACACTGGTGGAAATCAAGGGAGGCACAGGGGAAAATCAAGGGAAACACTGGTGAAAATCAAGGGAGGCACCGTGAAAATGAAGGGAGATAGTGGTAAGAATTTAGGGAGACACAGGTGAAAATTAAAGGAAACTCAGGTTAAAATTAATGGAGACACAGGTAAGAATTTAGAGAGACACAGGTGAAAATTACAGGAAACTCAGGTTAAAATTAGCGGAGACACAGGTAAGAATTTAGGGAGACACTGTGAAAAATTAAGGGAGATATTGCTAAAAATTAAAGGAGATAGTGGTAAGGATTTAGGGAGACACTGGTAAAAATGAAGGGAGATAGTGATAAGAATTTAGGGAGACATAAGTAAGAATTTAGGGAGACACTGGTAAAAATTAAGGGAGGTACTGGTAAAAATAAGGGAGATGCTGGTGAAGATTTAGGGTAAAAATTAAGGGAGATACATGTAAGAATGTAGGAAGACACTGGTAAAAATTAAGGGAGACACTGACAAAAATTTAGGGAGACACAGGTAAGAATTTAGGAAAACACTGGTAAAAATTAGGGGAGACACAGGTAAAAATTAAAGGAGACACTTAAGAATTAAGAGAGGTAAAAATTAAGGAGATACTGATAAAAAGGGGAGACACAGGTAAGAATTTAGGGAAACGCTGATAAAAAATAAGGGAGGCACTGGTGAAAGTTTTAGGAGACTTTGGTAAAAATTGTCTGCTCTGTGCAGAGAAAAGGTGTGGTCAATGCTTGTCTTCAAATATTGAAATACAAATATTTTTAGTGTTTTAACTTCTCCCAAAGTGAGCGATGGGAAGATCTGTGCAGTTTGAAACTTGAGTGGAAAGTGTGTGAGGTATGAACCTGGTAGGAAAGGTAAAACCAGTATTTACAGCTAGGAATACAAACATCAGTTGGAAAGGCCACTTAGCAGTGCTGGGGCTTTGGTTTTAATTGTGGCTTCAATGGGGAAGATGCTCAAATATATTAATAATTAATATTGCTTTCTGAATGAAACTTAGAAGCACGTGGAAAATTCTCCAGTGGCATTAAAATGGTGACAAATATTGCAATGTAGATTTGCCACAGTGCTGCCAGTTCCTGGGATGTTCAGCTCTGGTGGGAGCTGCTCTCTCCTCCAGGTCCTTGTCCCAAAACCACTCCATTGCAAAGGGCAAAAAGTCAATTTTAAACAAACAGCACTGAAAGGAGATGTGAGGCAGGTATCCCACCCAGCTCAGTCTGGAGCAGCCCTTGCTCAAGGCTGGCAGGTCTGGTCTTTAATTTATGGGATTGAAAACAATTTTTCATCTTTTATTTATACTTTTTTTTCCCCCTCATTAACTGGATTTCCTTTTTGCTGTAAGAAGGAGGGATGGGATTGGGCTGCAGGAATTGTTTTTGCTTTCCTTCTTCAGCTCTGCTGCAGATTATTTAGGCATCCACAAATTCATCTTCCTGGTGGGTGACTGACAGTGGCTTCCTGAGAAGAGCTGAGGCCTTGGATGATTTTTGGAGCATGTTGAAGCATTTTAATGCAATAAATGAATAATGTTGGTTGCTAACAAGGCATCCTGTTGCCTTCACTAATAGATTTGGATGGGAGCTCTGGGACAATCCGTTTACATCCTGAAAAGTCATTATTTTTCACTGTGGGGTTGTTCCTCAGCCTTGCTCGGAAATATTTCTTTAGGATGGAGATGTTTAACGTGCAGTTTTTTGAGTCTGCCCCAAGATAAACACGATTTTTGCGGAACCCATCCGTTATCAATCAATCTTAGGCTGGAGATTCCTCAGCCAACAAAAAATCAGCAGCAGTTTTGCTCTCTTGGAAAGAGCTGGGAGTTTTTTGAAGTGGTTCCATTTTGAGGGCGATAAGAAAAGCCACAGCCCCCATCCAAGAGCTGCATTCCTGGGAAATGTCTTTTCCTCGACAGAGAGAGGCTGGGAAGCTCTCCGGGAGGAGGCTGCCAATAACATCAGCAAAGAGCCCCAGCAGAGGGGCTGAGACCGTGCAGAGCTCCAGGTCTGGCTGCTCTGGGTCTGCCAGGGCATCCCAGGCTGAGCTTCAGCCTGGGGCAGAGCACCAGGGCACACAGGAGGCCTTGGTGTCCGTCTGTCCGTCCGTTCCTCTTCCTGGCAGGAGATCAAAGGGACTGGGGACAGGGATGTGCAGGGCGGCTTTGAGGCAGAGGAGGGCAGGGTTAGGTGGGAAAATGGGAAAGAATTCCTGGCTGGGAGGGTGGGCAGGCCCTGGCACAGTGCCCAGAGCAGCTGGGGCTGCCCCTGGGTCCCTGGCAGTGCCCAAGGCCAGGCTGGACCCTGGGGCTGGGAGCACCTGGGACAGTGGGAGGTGTTGGGGTGCAATGGGATGAGTTTTAAGGCTCTTTCCAACCCTTCCTCAATTCCATAATCATCTTTTCATGCATCCTTTTCTTGTTTTTCCAGATTTGATGGGAATTTCAACAATAATCTCTTACTATTAGTAGTTATTTATACTGAAACATTAAAAGCTGAGTTTCCATTGTAAATGTAGGTTTAATGAATAATGTTTGATTGCTGATCCTGTTCTTGTCCTTCCATATTTGATGGGAATTTCAACACCAATCTCTTACTATTAATCATTATTTACAGTGAAACATTAAAAAGCTGTGTTTCCATCATAAATGTAGGTTCAATAAATCATGTTTGATTGCTGATCCTCTTGTTGTTATCCTTCCATATTTAATGGGAATTTCAGCTCTGTGTCACTATAAAGGTTTACACTGAAACATTAAAAAGCTGGGTTTCCATTGTAAATGTAGGTTTGATTGTTCCAGATTTGATGGGAATTTCAACTCTGTGTTACTATCAATAATTTTTTACATTGAAACATTAAAAAGTTGTGTTTTCAATGTAAATATAGGTTTAATGAATAATGTTTGATTGCTGATCCTGCTGTTGTCCTTCCATATTTGATGGGAATTTCAACACCAATCTCTTACTATTAATCATTATTTACAGTGAAACATTAAAAAGCTGTGTTTCCATCGTAAACGTAGGTTTAATGAATAATGTTTGATTGCTGATCCTCTTGTTGTTATCCTTCCATATTTAATGGGAATTTCAGCTCTGTGTCACTACAAATATTTACACTGAAGCATTAAAAAGCTGGGTTTCCATTGTAAATGTAGGTTTGATTGTTGGTCCTGTTGTCTTTCCAGATTTGATGGGAATTTCAGCACCAATCTCTTACTATTAATAGTTATTTATACTGAAACATTAAAAAGCTGCGTTTCTATTGTAAATGTAGGCTCAATAAATCATGTTTGATTGCTGACCCTGCTGTTGTCCTTCCAGATTCGATGGGAATTTCAACACCAACGTTTCCAGAACCATCAGCTGCGATCGCCTCTCGACCACTGTCAACAGCAGAGCCTTCAATCCTGGGCGCGACTTAAATTCTGGTGAGCAGCACGGCTCCACTTTGGGGTTTATTTCCTTCTGTTGTAGGGCTTCTTTCCCCTTAGACTCCAGCATTTCCTTGGCACAGGGAATTTGCATTGATTGCCATAGCAACAAGCTTTTATTTCTCCTTGCAAGTGTCACACTGCTCTTAATTTGAGATTTCATGATTGAAAGCTGATACCTGAAGTAATGCCCTTAGTCTAAGTACTTTATAAAAATGTCATGAAGATTTTATTCCAGCCTACCGTGGATAATTTTGTTGTGGTTTCTGCACTTTTTATTTCTTCCTTTTTCTTTTTTTTTTCCCAAGGTTTTCTCCTTCCTAGGCCTGTCTGCTTTGGCATCAGCAGGGTCAGCTGCTGCAGGGGCCACACAGGGAAGTTTCTCTGATCTTCTTAGCTGAGCTCAGCCCATGTGAGGCTGCCTTTGCAGTGATATGCAAAAACGACCAAATATGAGGGCATCTTAAAATATTTCCTGTCTTTGTCTTGTCAGGGCATTTTCTCAACACGTTTAAGGACTTAGAAATATGCTTAGAACCAAAATACACACGACTTATCCCTGAAAAATTCAGCTTTTGGGCCTCTGCTGCAGCAAGGTTTTTCTTCTTTTTTTTGCATCCTAATCAGTGTGGATTAATACAGGGATTTGAGTTGGGTTTAGTCAGACTTTGCCCCAGTTCCATCTGACTTTTCAACTTTTTATGGTGCTCAGTGTTGTAAATTAGGGAACATTAATAGACTTTGTGGATTTCATTTTGGGGAGGTGTTGTTTGTTCATTCTTTTGGGGGAATAATGCAGACTTGGGATTTATTTTATTTTAATTTCATTTTCAGAGGTCTTTTGGAATAAAATGCTGATTTATTTCATTAACTTGACTGATGTGGTGGCAACCCTGCCATTCCACCCTCACCATCTTGCAACAAACGGGGGGAAAGAACCCCAAATTTTTATAAACTCCTTTACTGTTTGTCTTCTTATAGCTCTGCTCTCTGGATTTCTAATGGAATATAAAAATGAGCAGTCCCCAGAGGTTGTTTTGCATCCCATTCATGGTATCCCACATCTTGGACGCAGGTGCTGGCCAGGCTGATTTCCTGACAAGCCATGATTTGTGTGGTGTTTTCCATCCTAAAGCCAGGCACTCTTTGTTCACTCACTGTGATTTGCTGGGCTTTGTTTTACTCATCTCTTTATTAAAGAAACCAAACTTAAACGACTCATTAAAATAATGTTTAAATCACATGCAGTTGTTAATTAATCAGAATGATTTTTGAAGGCAAGTTTAGTGTCACTGTTGTAAGAGCAAAGCATACAATGAATCACTTCATGGTTTTTAATTTAATTAAATAAAAATCTTTTGCTACTGCAGAAGTTGGAGGTTAAAAAAGTATTCGAGAAATATTCCTTATTTTTGAGTGATGAAAAGCAAATAAATTGCAGTTTCTTGTAAACATAATTTAAATTTCTGGTTTGAATTCTCAGAGAGAAATAAAGTGAGTGAGTGTTCAAGGTTCCTGCTGTCCTGGCCCTGCAGTGAGGCTCAAGTGCCTCCCTTCCCTTGCCTCTGGCTTGAAAGATTCCTGATGAAAGGAGAACCTTCAGAACGTGGCATTGGCAGGAAAGGGCAGCAGCAGAGGAGGGGGAATTGAGGGAGAGCAAGAGCAGGGGTTTATTGACAGCAGCCTCTCCTCTGGCACTCCTTGTACAGAATCAGCCTTGGGGGGAGGTTTTGATTAGGAGGAAATGTCTGTGAGAGAGAAATGGGACGGGAAGAGTGGATTGAGGCAGGAAAATGGGATGGGAATGGTTAATTTGAGGAACAAAAGTTGGTACTGGGTGCCCACCTAGTGAAGAGAGAGGTTTTATGTAGGTGAGGCCAAGGAATATCCCTGGTCTGTGTTGTGTTTAAAAAAAATTCCCCAAACCCCATAATTTTCTCTCTTCTCTCGTAAGTATCCTCATGCAGAGCTGAGGAGGAATATTTGTTGCACTTTGGGTTTAGGCTCTACCTCTGCCTCATTTATTTTTATGCTTTAAAAACTGTGGGTACATCTGGGTGTTCTCAATGTTGTCTTCCTGAATGAGTTTTTCATTTCATTCTGCACATAAAAGACACAATTCCCATGAGCATCCTCCCTTTTCCCACAGGAGTCCTGCAGTTTAAACAATCCTGCCTACAAAAAGCTCCTGGCCAAACATAAATTTCAGCTCTGCTCCGCTCGACCTCGAGCTCAGCTCTGGAAATGTTAATCTTGGCCCAGAGTAAAAAGTGGGATTGGAGTGCTGAAGTTGGAGGTGTTGGAAGGGAACGGAATTTGCACCACAAAGCCACAGGAGCAGAGCCTGGGAGAGCCCTCAGGGACAGCAACCCCAAATTCCACCCTGGGCAGGGTGTTAAGAGGGGTGATGGAGCTCATGAAACTTCCAAATCTGTTTTTTCCATTATTATTGGAATTTTTTTTTTTTTTGTTAAAACAAACATTAATCTTTGGGGAGGGAGAAAGAAATAGATGTGTCTCCTTAGCTTTAAAAAAATATCACTTTTACCACTGTTTTCTCTTGCTATTAGGTGGCTTTTTAAATGTTGTTTCATGTCTTGAAAAGATTTTGTTTTATCTCGGTTGGAGTTTTGCATCTGGATTACTTTTAGCCATTACTACAAAAGAGATAAGGAGAAAGTCTTTATTCTCCAGATGGAGACACAGGCTTTGGGCAGTTAGATGAAGAGATCTGTCCTCACCACCCTGAATAGTCCTTTATTTATTAAATCTTCCCCAGAGCCAGTGCAATATGTTATCAGATTCCTTTGGAGGTTTTTTTTGCCTTTTGAATAAACAGGGAGCCAGTAAATCTTTCTCCTTCTCATCCTTCAAAGTGCTGAAATGTCTGTTCCAAGTCATGCAGCTCTGGCAGAGTGCTCCTCCCCAGAAATATGCAGAGGTGGCACAAAATTGCCCAGTAAATTCTGTCTGTTTTATTCGAGGTGTTGATCATTTCAAATCTTAGAGTCATAAAATATCTGGAGTTGGAAGGGATCATCGAGTCCACAATGTGGAATGTTCCTTAAATTGCTGTATTTTACACTGATTTTTGACTGAGTTAAAATGGCTGGGAGTTATTTGAGCAGAAGAGTTAATAACCCTTCCTCCAAATCCTTTTAATGGAGGAATCTGGTCCCATTCCCTGAAATAAAAGGGTTTTTAATTTCTTTTTCCTTCAGAGTCCTGGGGATTGAGCAGGGCTCTGTCCTGGCTCGTGCCACCAGCAGAATGTTAATTGTGGCTGAGCTGCAGAGCTTTTATTGCTGGTGACAGCACAGGAGCTGGAACTGGGTTTGACTTGGAAAATCTGAATCAGATCTGCCTGGGGAGTCAGAGGATGTCTTCACTTGTGCAATAAACACATTTCTTTGTGCTGTTCCTTCACCAGGAGGGTTCTTAATGGAGGGACTTGTCAGAGGAGAGCTGGAAATGAAACTTGCCTGGTTTTTGTGGGATGAGATCCGAGGTGGGCAGCTCAGCAAATGCAATGCTAAAGAGGAGGGCTGTAAGAAACCCTTTTAGAACGAGCAATTATGTTCAGTAGTTCCTTTTTTTCCCCCTGACTGTTTGTGCAGTTCTTTGAAGATTAATTAGTTAATGATTTGGCTGTGCTTTGAAGATGTAAAGTGGTATCTAGAAGTGCTAAGTGTTATCATATCGCATTCCCTTTGAAGTTTTATAAACTCTATCACACAGGGCTTTCTTCCTAAAAGTCCTTTTTGCCTTGTGAGATATTTATAATTAGAGAGAACCATCATTTCAAACGCTGTCATCTTAATACTTCCCAACTTTTCCAGTCTGCAGCAGGATTTGGGGTCAGATCTTGCTGCAGGGGAAGTGGAGGGGTCAGAGCTTTGGAGTGACCTGGCAATGCCACCTTATGGGCAGCCTGCCCACTTTTATTCCCAATCTGTGTCCAAAATTAAGGAATCAGCTTTTTATTTGGATGGAATAACCTGTCCAGGGGCTGGAGGAGGAGGTGGGAATAAACTACAGGCACCAAGGGCGTGGAAAGTTTGGGGTAAGTGAGATTTGGGTTAAAAAAAAAATAATCTACTGTGCGTCCTGGCAAGGAGCAAGAATTGAGGAAATATCTGCAGGGCATTCTTGCAGCTTGAGTAGATGGAAAATAAGAATGTGTTTAAAGAGAAAAAGTCTGGATTTTTCAGCCATGGCTTATCTGCAGGGAGATTGTCTGCTGTGGTCATAGGAAAATGAAAAAAAGGGGGAAAAAAGCAGAGTTTGGATAAAATTGGTGGTCCCTGGGGAGGGTGTTATTGAACTAACACTTGCTGGAGGAAACATGAGCACAACTGTGTGAAAAGGAAGAACAGCAGAGCTTGAGTTTCAAAACCAATTGTTTTATGGGGAAAAGGAATATTTTTAAATCCACATACTCTCGTGGGGAAATAAATACAGCTCATGGCCTTGCAGGAATGAGAAGTTTATCTTTAATATAGCAAGGATTAAAAAAAGCCAAAGCCTTTAAATTATAAACTAACTCCTTTATTGTAATGTTGTTGGTAAAACGAGACTGCACAAGTTGTTTCATCCAGGCTTTAACTGAGTGTTCACATGTCAACTTTGAAATTACATTTTTCAAGTTCTGTAACTCAAAACAAAACCTTCAGCACCAGAAATTCAACCTCTTTATACAAAACAACTTCACCCCCAGAACGATGAAATCCTGGGCATAAAAAGAAGGATTTAAATGTTTTATAGTCTCATGGCCCTTCTGCCTGCAGGAGGAAGCAGCAGCTCAGAGAAAAAATAGATTTTGGAGGGGAATGAGGAATCTCTGGTAGCCCTTGGTCCATCAAGGCAGGGAATTGCTCTCATGGGAAGCTGCATTTTTGCACAGAGCTCAGCAGTCCCAGCCCAGCATCCCAGCAGGATTTGTAGGCACTGTGGGAAGTGTCAAACACTGTGGCAAAGAGGAGTGGGGAAAGCCCAGGACAGTGGTTTTTGCAGGGCAATTACACTGGGCTGGATGTGGAGAGAACATCCAGCCACAGCCAGTCTGGGAAACTTGAGTAAGTGCTAAAGTGTGGAGGATGTGGAGCTCAGGCTGCCCTCACTGTGGGTATTTGGGTGTAGAGTGTCTGCTAAGGCTTGAATGTGCCCTGCAGTCCTTTCCAACCCAAATATTGGCATATTTGATAATGAAGGAGATGAAACTGGCCCGTTTTCAGTGCCAGTCCTGAGGGAATGCTGGAGGGAAATGCTGAGCAAAAGGTGAAGCACTGGAAATCAGAGCCCCCCTCTGCCAGTTCTTTGAGTTCTGCAATCAAAGAACGTGAAAGGAGAAATGGCAAAGAAATATTTTCTTTTTTTTATGCATTTTAAGCTGTTGTGATCCACTTTATTTGCTCGGTAAAAACCTAAGATTTGAAAAATCCAGATTTTGTTTTCAGTCTGCTGCAAGCAGAGAGGCTGTTCAGCCCTGAGTGGGAAATAATCCTGTTCCTGCTGTGGTGCCTCCCATGCTAATCATGTCCCATTCCCTCTCTCCTGGTTAGCATTTCCCTTTTGTTTTAAAGGACTTAGAGCTGCCTGGGATCACTGATGTGGCAAAATTGGTGATTCCATGGATGAACATCAATCCAGGCTGGAGGGAGAGCAGAGGAGGTCTGTGGGACATTCCCACTGCACCACGAGGCAGAAATCCCAATGTCCATAGGATCTGTTCTTCCTAATGCCCATAGGATCTGTTCTTCCTAATGTCCATAGGATCTGTTCCCTTCTCAGTGCCCATGGGATCTGTTCCCTTCCCAGTCCCCATGGGATCTGTTCCCAGTGTCCATGGGATCTGTTCCCAGTGCCCATGGGATCTTTCCTTTCATTGAAGGAAAGGAAAGATCCCATGGGCACTGGGAACGGATGAAGCTGTGAGCACCAAACCTGTTGAATATTTTGGAGTTATTCCACCAAAAAGAACAGGATTTTTTGACTTGAAGGCTTCTTCCTTTGTGGAAAGGATGTTGACAAGGTGTTTATTATTACATGGAGATGTAGGGTGTACATATATATATATATATTATATATAATTGCCTTAATCTCTTCCTTCCTCACTCTGGCCTTGCCTTCCAGGACCTGGGGGTGCTTCAGAGACTCAGGAACTGTCATCACATATTAAACAAAATCTGTCCAATCCAGTGTTGAGTTTCTTGAGCTGTTTGCAGATCAGTGCAGTGTCAGCAGTGTGTTTTCCCCATCCTAAGCAGAGCAGTTTGTGTTTCCTGTAGGGCCCTGGTTGTTCTCCAGACTCCACCAGGGAGGTTCTGAGTCTGGGCTGCCTTTGTAACTCTGCTTCTCTCTCCCTTTCCACCCTGCAGTCCTTGCTGACAACCTGAAGTCTAACCCAGGAATCAAGTGGCAATATTTCAGCTCAGAAGAAGGGATTTTCACCGTGTTCCCGGCCCACAAGTTCCGGTGCAAGGGCAGCTACGAGCACCGCAGCAGGTAGGGTTTGCCTCCCTCCAGTTTCCTGGGGACAGCACTCACACTGGGCTCCTCAGGCCCTGATTTCACTCACTCTTGTCCCTTGCCAAGCTGCCAACATTCGTGAGTAACTTCTAATGGAGCCCCTTGGGTTTTCTTAGGGCTGTTTTTTGAAGCACCACTTTTCACTTCTGAGGAACTAAACTAAAATTCCAAACAGGTTCCTCACCTCTCCCAAATTAAATCAGCTGTAAACAGCACTAGCACTGACTTGGAAGTTGTAGGTCAGCCTGCAGGCAGAATCTGACTAATATTTGACTCATATCTGACCCCTGTTAACAAAGCAGTGAGCAGACATTCTGCTGATTTGGCAGGTGCATCACTTTGGGAGGGAGGGGAAGGATGAGAGACTGGGAAGGGCACATAGGTGGGAGCATTTTTCCCCAGGTTCAGGTGGCACATCAAGGATAGTAGGGAAGCAGCAGTGAAAATTTCTTTCCACTGAAATAAAACAGTAAAAATAAAGCATCAGGTGGCAGAGTGGTGGCAGGGTTTCCTGCACAGGGATTTCTGTTCTCTAAGCCAAGAATTTGAGGTCCAGTATTTTTCTCTGCTTTTTCTGTCAGTACCGTGGGATTGATGCAGGCTCGAGGGTGGGAAGGTGCAGTGGCTTTAATGTCTCTGGTCATACATTAATTAATTGTACAAGTTAATCAGTCTGTGCAGGAGAAGCAGCAGCACATCCAGGAACCTTTTGGGGACACCAAAGAAGGTTTGGTTTTCTGTCAGGGTTGAGCAATCAAAAGTTTCCTGATGTTATCTTCAGTGTGCCATCAAAGCACAAAGTTCTGAGCTTGACTGAGTTTTATGGGGCCTTGGAAAGGTGAGGGCTGAGGAGGTGAGAGCTGGGGGTGCCCCAGTCCTGCTCAGAACTTGGACACTAAAACCATCAGTGGTTTTATCCAAATCACTTGTCTGGGTCATAGTTCCTCCATGGCCAAATAAGGGGTCTCTTTTTGCTAATATTTACTTCAGAGGGTAGTTTGGGTGAATTAATTAGTTAATGCTTCAGTGCTTTGAAGATCAAAGGCCCTGTTTCAGTTGCAGGTATTAATCCAGGGTAGAGCTGCAGGCTGTTTTACAGTTAAGAACTGATTTGTGCCAGTTGTTTACTGCAGTGCCTTGTGTCAAATCTTTCCTTTCCTTTTAATAAGATTTCTGTGTCTGCCTTTGATATAACGAAATTTAGATCCCAAAACTCTCCCTTGACTGTAACTAGTTTTGTGTCTGGACTAAAGAGGAAAGAGAAACTTGCCATTTTATTTTAATCCTTCCTCCATGCTGAGGATCTTCCTAATTTATTCCAGGTTGAAACCTTGGTGTGAGAGCTTGTGAACTCTTTCACACCTCTCTCAATATTGAGCTGGATCTGAAAACAAGATTTTTGGTGTTAGCACAGACACGTGGCAGCACTGAGAGTCCCCAGTGGTGTTAGCTCACTTTGGGATGTAAAACTGGGCAGATGCAAGGGCTTGTGCAACATGACCCGGGTGAGAGTCATCCCAGGGCACCCTGCCTTGGCCAGAAGCCTTCTTACAGCAGCCCAAACACCCTGGGCTGATCACCTCCCTGCAGCTGCACAGGTTTTGACTTGCCATGGCCCCAGCACATCCCCACTGCTGCTCCCAGTTCAGGTGTGGGTGAAGTTCCCAGCAGCCAGGATTTACCTGGAGCATTTCTTGCTTCATTCAAACCTTGCTGTGAACTGCTGCAGTGATCCCAAACGCTGCTGCTGTGTAAGCAGCAGGGTTAATTCCTGAAAGCTCTTGCTGTGACTGAGGGAGAAAAACCTGGTTAGGTTAAAAAATTCAGAAACTGAGGGGCATTTCTCCATGCTCAGATTCTCAGCTGGCCTTTCCCGGTACAAGTTCTGATAAGGGGAAAAAAAAAATCTGTTATAATTCATTGTTTCTTCCTGTTTGTTTGCTTGGGTGTTCTAATTCCTGCCTGTTTCCACTTGTGAGCACTGCAGTGGGGATGACAGGGTGCTGCTGCTGATGGTGCTTTGGGTTTTGTCCCTCCTGATGATGGTGCTTTGGGTTTTGTCCCTCCTCAGGCCCATCTACGTCTCCACCGTTCGCCCTCAGTCCAAGCACATTGTGGTCATTGTGGACCACGGGGCCTCTGTCACAGAGACACAGCTCCAGATTGCCAAGGATGCTGCCCAGGTGATCCTCAGCTCCATAGATGAGCACGACAAGGTGAGATTTCTCCAGACAAACCCTGGGTTTTCAGCTCCCACCCAAAGGGGTGAATTCAGTCATGGACCCCAGCAGATCTGGGAGCTGCTTCTGAGGAGTGACAGAGCCTTGAGTTCACTCTTTGTGCTGCAGGGGAAACATTTGGGGATCTGCAGGCTGGGAAAAAAGTGAAATCCCACTGATCTAAGGCAAAATCTTGTACCTGAGCAATCTTTAAAGGCTCCTCCATCTCAGCAGATATTTCAGTGGTGGTCAACAGGAAGAAGAACCATGCTCCAAACATGACCCTTTCTCACATCCTAAACTACTTTGAGCAACTCATTTCACCTCTGAGCCTCTCTTTTTGTCTTGTGAAAGTGAAAATTATTTATTCTCCTGCAGTACTGGTGTGAGCTGAAGCATAATTAGTGTTTGGGAGATTCACAGATAATTATGGTACCAGCACAGGGCCAAGAAATCTGGGTTTGATTTCTTGCTCTGTCCCTGGCACTCATTTGACAGTGAGAAAGTCACTTTACCTGTAATTTTTTTCAGTACAGGCAACTGTGGACTCATAAAGTGCTTTTGTAAAAAGTCTGCAGTTTTTTAATAACTCTTTGCTGGTGAGACCTTGATCAGTCTCTCTGCTTGGGTTTTCTTTTGTGAGCAGGAGGAGTTTCAGTTAAATCAAATTGAAGAAAACTGATGATAATCTTTGCCTTAAGTCTTCTCATGAATAGTATGGGAAAACCACTTGCAACATGGTGCTTTTAAAGAGATTTAATATGGTAAAGTAATCTTACAGTTCAGCAGGAATAATAGCACTTAAATTCAAGTGTCAGAAGGGTTTGTGTTAAGACAGAATACATTTGAGGCACCTATTCCTTGGTCAGTAGCTCAGTGGTTATAGAACCTGTTACACAGGTATCTAATTACTGCTTAATTCTGGGGCTGTCTTGCCTCAGTCATGCTTCCTAATGAAGTTTGTCACTCAATTAATGAGTCGGGTGTGTTAGATGTCATTAAGGCATAGAGGTAACACTTGCATTAACTTATTTACAGGAAAAGCTGATGTCAGAGTCGCCTTGCTTTGACTGAAACATTAAAGCAGCAAAAAGCTTTGCTGGGAGCAGTCCTTGGAGGGGTTGTTTATTTTTTTTTTTCATTTCTCTGTGCACTCAGCTTCTCTCTGGGCTCTCCAGGCTTTCCTGCAAATGCTCTCTGCTGATTCCCTGTCAGCTCTCCCTGGCCCACTCAGGCTCTGCCCAGAGCAGTGCATTGACCATTGTGAGGGAGCAGAGTGAAGCTGACTCTGCTGAGAAACAAAGACTCAAATCTCTTTTCCTTGAACTCTGCATAATCCTTTTGAAATCTGACAGATTTATGCCTCCAGCATTTCTTTTCCAACAATGCAGTTTTAAACCCATGGAATCTCCTCTGTTGGCTTCTCTAGTGTTGTGTGTCTGGGTGTGGAAAGATGATGTAAAGGTGTGTGTTGTGTTCTCCATGCAGGACAACAGGACTCCTGGACAACTCATCAATGTCATTAAGCAGAAGCCCCTTCACTGTTTACTTAAGCTCTATTTATACATTCTCACACTGCTGCACACACAATCACACATTTCTTGATTGGTGCCTCTACCTTGTCTACGTGCTCTGCAAGCACTTTTCAGGATATGTGATTGCTTACAGTCCAGTGCTTCAGGGCCCTCCTTTATCTAATGTCTTGACATTTTGTTTCTCAGCCTCTTCTTTCTTAATGTACCACAATTTATGTCTTAGTAACCTTGAGAACCCCAGAGGCTTCTGATAAGAACAACTAAAAAACCCAGTTTGGCTGGAGCACGCTGTGGCCTGAGCTGTTCAAGCACATTGCTCCACCTCCAGGGGAGGTGATCCTATGGAGCCCCTTCCTCATGGAACCTCTTCCTCATGGAACCTCTTCCTCATGGAACCTCTTCCCCATGGAACCCCTTCCCCATGGAACCCCTTCCCCATGGAACCTCTTCCCCATGGAACCCCTTCCCCATGGAACCCCTTCCCCATGGAATCTTCTCTCTTCCCCATGGAACCCTTTCCCCATGGAACCCTTTCCCCATGGAACCTCTTCCCCATGGAACCTCTTCTTCCATGGAACCCCTTCCCCATGGAACCCCTTCCCCATGGAATCTTCTCTCTTCCCCATGGAACCCCTTCCCCATGGAACCCTTTCCCCATGGAACCCCTTCCCCATGGAACCTCTTCCTCATGGAACCTCTTCCCCATGGAACCTCTTCCTCATGGAACCTCTTCCTCATGGAACCCTTTCCCCATGGAATCTTCTCTCCTCCCCATGCAACCCCTCCCCATGGAACCCCTTCCCCATGGAATCTTCTCTCCTCCCCATGGAACCCCTTCCCCATGGAATCTTCTCTCCTCCCCGTGGAACCCCTTCCCCATGGAGCCTGTTCCCGGCAGATCTCGGTGCTGACGGTGGCGGACGCGGTGCGCACGTGCTCCCTGGACCAGTGCTACAAGACCTTCCTGTCCCCTGCCACCAGCGAGACCAAGAGGAAGATGTCCACCTTTGTCAGCAGCATCAAGGCGTCCGACAGCTCCACGCAGCACGCCCTGGGCTTCCAGAAGGCTTTCCAGCTCCTGCGGAACACCAACAACGGCACCCGGCTCCAAGGAAGTAAGGCAGCCTCTCCTGCAAGCCGGGCTGTTCCAGGGCCTTGCCATGTTTGCTTGTTTCACATCCTCACTTTGGCAGAGCCCAGGGGAGTGGAGTGCGTTCAATAGGAACAGAAATGTGCTCCATCCCCATTTTTGTTCTAAGGAGCGTTTCCTTGGGCTGCAGTCCATGTGAGGGGCTCTGGGATGTGTCCATTCTCCATGTGAGGGGCTGTGGGATGTGTCCATCTCCATGTGAGGGGCCGTGGGATGTGTCCATTCTCCATGAGGGGCTGTGGGATGTGTCCATTCTCCATGAGGGGCTGTGGGATGTGTCCTTTCTCCATGAGGGGCTGTGGGATGTGTCCATTCCCTGTGATGGTGTTCACAGGGGTTCCAGGATGAGGGAAGAGATGAGGATCTGACTCCATGTTTCAGAAGGCTTGATTTATTATTTTATTATATATATTATATTAAAACTACACTAAAAGAATAGAAGAAAGGATTTCATCAGAAGGCTTGAAAGCAACAGGAATAGAATGATAAAATCTTGTGACTCACCAGACAGTCCGAGCCAGCTGGACTGTGATTGGCCATTAATTAGAAACAACCACATGAGCCAATCCCAGACCCACCTGTTGCATTCCACAGCAGCAGATAACCATTGTTTGCATTTTGTTCCTGAGGCCTCTCAGCTTCTCAGGAGAAAAAAATCCTAAGGAAAGGATTTTTCATAAAATGTGTCTGTGACAATTCTCCACGTGAGGGCCTCTTGGATGTGTCCATTCTCACTCTCTCTTGCTGCCTTGCCTTTCTTTTGAACTGAAGGAGGAGAATGCAGGATTGATCTCTGTCATTGCTGAGTTATTTCCTCAGTCTGTATGGGGGGGACAGGGGGCCTTTCCAGGAAAATTGCAGCTTCTGCAGGTTCATTTAATGAGTGCTGGCACATTTGCATGTGGATGATGTGCCTTACTGGAATCCTGGGCAAGTGGATCCCCTTGCTTCCCAGGGAAATGACATTTGAGGATACCAATTATGGGTGATATTTTGTGGAACACAAAGCTGTCCTGGGCTAAAATTTCCTTCATCTCAGAATAACCTCCCTGAACTCTGTGTACTCATTATGAGCTTTATCCTTCCCCTTCCCAAGACTGGGGTTTTTCTGGGTGTTTTTTGTAGTGATGATGGTGGTGAAAAACATGAAAAGATGGATGTGAAATTGAGTGGCAGATTGGCTTGCCAGGAAGCCCTGGAAGGCAAATCCTGTGCTCTGGGTGCTCCTTGGATTTGAGTGACCCTGGCAGTGCCAGGGCAGGGTGGAGGGAACAGCCCATCTCCATCAGGATGCTTGGATTATGTAACCCCCTGGCCCCGTGCCTGCTCCAGTGAGAGCAGAGCTTTCAGTGTCCCAAAGGGCACCAGCTCAGAGCCTGTGCAGAGCCAGAGAGAGAGGAAAAGTCCAGGAATTGAAGTGCTTTGAAAAGAATGAGGAAATACCCCCCATTCCACGTGACTTTCCCTGGGTTTATGGAATGGTGCTTTTGCTACCGAAGGTTCAGCCAATTCCTGAGTTCAGGCCATTGGCACAGGGAGATTTCGTGTGACTGGACAAAGGATAAGGCTGGCAAGGGCAGGATTTTACCATCCTCTGGCAGAATGATGACAGGGGAGCAACCCCAGCAAATGCAGAATGAACAATGCGGGGCTGCTGCAGCTGGCTGGGATAAGATGAATTTGCCATCAGGATTTATTCCAAGAACATCAGCTGAGGAGTCTTGGAGCATCCTCCTGCTTATTCTCCATTCCTGGAAGTGTCCAAGGCCAGCTTGGACAGGGCTTGGAGCACCCTGGGATGGTGGGAGGTGTCCCTGCCCATGGCAGATGAGGGGTGAGATGAGCTTTAGGGTCCCTCCCAACCCAAACCATTCCAGGATTCCATGTTTTTATGTTTGGCACTGTTTGATATTAGGGTTAGAAGTTTTGGCATATTCATATGTCACTAGGTTTCATATCAAACAACTATTTTGGGGCACAAGCACAGAAAGTTAAAATGCAAATGCTTTGGATTTAGGTTTTCTCTACATGTGGAAGATTGTGAAGATCTAACATGTTTATGATGAATTTCAGAATTCCTGGGGTGAGACACAATAGGTTTGAGAAGAGGATGTTTATAAAACATGTCTCATTTTCTTGTAAATAATCTTTTCATCTTTTTAAAAAAGAAAAACAAACCCAGCAAAAAAAAAAAAAAAATCCTTCATTTCACTGTTAATTTTCTAACATCCTGTTCCCAGAGAACAATGTGTGGGTGTGTCAGGGAAGCTGTTGAGATACAGCCTCAATCCCAAATTCACACTGGCAAAGCCAGAAGGGAACTGCTGGTGTGAGGTGGGAGATCTGTGCTGTTAAACACATCTGGATTTCCTGCTTCAGGTCCTCCTGCAGTCCTGCTCAGCAGATCCTCATCCCAAAGAGTGACAGAATGCTCCAAAAGCTGCTTGCTCTGGTCCCTCATGCAGATTTAGGACTGGCTCTTGTTACTCCATTTAGGCTGCAGCACCATGCCTGGCTGCAGATAAAATATCTCTGCTGTAGCCTAGGAAACACAGCAACAATTTTCCTTAAACTCCACCCAAAGCTGCTTTTATACCTGGCTTTGCTTTTATTCCTACTTTTAGCCCTTACAGAAAACTAAGGTAGAAATTCCCCCAAATTAACAGCACCTCCAATTTGTGTCAAAATCTGGTTCTGAAGCCCTGAGGACAAAATGTGCAAGTGAAAGCATTGATACCTATTTAATAAACCAGTACAGCAAATCCACCAAAAAATCCAGGTGAAACAAGAAGGTTGGGATGTGACCACATCAGCCCAGTGCTCTGGATTTCCTGTGGATGATTTTGATCTGTGTGTTCATTATAAACACAAACCACTCTCAGTGCTGAGATAAATGTGATGGAACAGGTTGGGGAGTCAGCACAGGGCTGTGGATTGTGTTCAAAGGCTCTGGGGCAGGACTCTGGCCAGGAACATCCTCAGCCTGAAAAACACGTTCCAGGGAAAGTGTGAGGAGCCAGCTCACATTCCAGAGAATTCCCAGAATTCCCAGGCTTTCTTCTCTGCCCTGCTCCATGGAGGGTGTCCTGTGCAGCTCCGTACCTTGGGATTGCAGGGTGGAAGGAGAACAGAGGGGCAGGAGATGAAAAGTGCAGGTTTTGACCTTGTGGAGCCTTTTCCCTGGAATTGGAGCAGCTGCTCCAGGTGCTGGATCTGTGTGCTCCTGCCTGGAGGCAGCCAAGCTCCTCACCTGGAGAGGAAAAGGATCCAGGGAGTCCTTAGTGCCTGAGGAGAGCTGCAGAGGGACTGGGGACAAGGCCTGGAGGGACAGGACACAGGGAATGGCTCCCAGTGCCAGAGGGCAGGCATGGATGGGACATTGGGAATTGTTCCTGGCAGGGTGGGCAGGCCCTGGCACAGGTGCCCAGAGCAGCTGGGGCTGCCCCTGGATCCCTGCAGTGCCCAAGGCCAGGCTGGACACTGGGGCTGGAGCAGCCTGGGACAGTGGGAGGTGGGACTGGATAGGGTTTAAGGTCCTTTCCATCCCAAACCATTCCATGACTCCAAAGCCAGAGGGTGCTTGTGGGGTTTGCTCAGGAGAGCAAGCCCAGAGCTCCTGGGTGGCCAACAGGCACCAAACCAAACAGAAGTTTGGTGAGTGCCAAGAGTGAAACTTGAACCCCAAAGGCTGGAATCCATGTGGCTGCAGTGTGTTCGTCCCCTGGAGGGGCTGTGGATCCCTGGGAGAAGCTGCTGTGAGCAGATTTCAGGGCTCTCAGCACAAGAGTTAAATCCTGATGCACTTTGTGCTGTGTCTGTAATTGTGTTTCAGATACTGACATGGTGATCATTTATCTCTCGGCTGGGATCACATCAAAAGAGTCCTCAGAAGAGGATAAAAAAGCCACTCTGCGTGTCATCAACGAAGAGAACAGCTTCCTCAATAACTCAGTGATGATCCTCACTTATGCCCTCATGAATGGTGAGAGATGCTTGTGTTTTCCAGGCCATAAAATTCCCCTCCTGGCACAGCACAACTCGTTTATTAAACTCATCCCAGGGTAATTCCAGGCCTTACTGGGAACAGTTTGTTCATGGATTTTTGGCACATTTAATCCAGAAGCTGCATCCAGATGTTGTAACTTTGGTGTTTATAGCTGTGCCACTCTATCCTTGTGGATCCCAGTGCAGCTGCAGGGATACAAAATATTGTGGCCTGGATTGTCCAGACTGAGTTAAATTTGTTAATTATTGCAACTGCAAACCTTCCTGGGGGCTTCCAGGGGCAGCAAGCTGGGACTAAATGTGACTTCATCAGCCAGGGAGGGTGAATGGGAGATCAAACCAAGTCTGAAATGATAACCCAGCTTTGGTAACCTGGGAACCAACCTGAGAGTGAAGTGAAACATGAAGATCACCCACTCCTTTTCCAAAAAAGCATTTTCAGCACGAAGGCAGTTTGTTGTATTACTGAAAATAGCCAAGGAAGTGAATGCTTAACCCAATGTATGATTTGGTTGTAAATTTAAATGTTCATTTGAGACTGGGGCGTGCAAAAGGCCTTGATTTGTGTGCAGGAGTTGAGCCTGGGACTGGAGTGAAGTGTGAAACTGGAGTGATTCAGCTGCAGAACAAAGGCTGTTATCTCCAGGGCTGAGGATTGCTCCTGGTCCTGCCTGTGGGCGAGCCAGCGTGGAGAACAAAGAGCTGTCCTGTGGATTTATGGGGCACACTGCTCTTTGCTCCCAGGGCTTTGTTTAAAGGGGGGATGTGAACAGCATGGCAAATCTTTTGCACTGTGCAACAGCAGGAGAGAGGCAATCTCTTTAAATTTGGTGTTAGTAATTAATTTTCCTCAAACCAATCTTTAAGCGCTTAAATAAGAATGTGGAATTTTCAGTGCTGCAACACAGAGTATGGATCATTCCTTTGGAGCAGGGGCCTGGATGGGAATGAAGCCTGTTTGCCTGTGCTTTGTGTCCCTGCAGAGGGGGTGACAGGGCTGAAGGAGCTGGCCTTCCTGCGGGACCTGGCTGAGCAGAACTCGGCCAAGTACGGCGTGCCCGACCGCAGCGCCCTGCCCGTCACCAAGGGCAGCATGATGGTCCTCAACCAGCTCAGCAACCTGGAGACCACCGTGGGCAGGTTCTACACCAACCTGCCCAACAGGATGATCGACGAGGCCGTGTTCAGCCTGCCCTTCTCGGATGAGATGGGGGACGGTGAGTGCTGCCCTTGGCTTCTGGTGAAGCCATCAGAGATCAGGTTCTCTTTGCTTTCCTGTCCCCAGATTCGTGTAATCCTGTGTCCCAGTTGAGATGGAGACAATACAAATACACTCCGTTTTCAGAAGGCTTCAAACTGTTTTTATTCTGGCATGCAGGCTTTTATACATTCTTACAAAGCTCAGAAGTTTACACTTAACTCATTGGTAAGGAAAGACAAACAAAGTGCTCATTGGAATAGCTGCAGGCTTCTCTTATTTATCCTTCTCTCTTTCTTGGTTTCTGTGTCAATGACCTTGGTAGGAAATTCTTTCAGGGGTGAACATGGATCCTCTTATCAAACTTCTCTCTGGCTCTCAGAAGTCCCTGTAAAACCTCTTCCACAATCCTACAAGATTTTGGTTCTAGGTGTGTTTCCAAGCCTTGTTGTCTGTAGAATTTTCATCTGCAGAAGGTTTAGTTGTGGAAAAAGTGCTAACAAGGCATGGAGTTGGCAGATTTAGTTTGGATTCTTGTGGTCACATTTGTTCCTCTGTATGAGTACACAGGAACAAATAATCCATAATTTAATCTGTGGAGAGAAATTCTTCGTACTGGAGGGAAACAGATTGGAATGGCATCCATGTCAGTCCTGTGTAAGAGCAAGATAAAAGCAGCCTTGTGAATGGCACGAGGAGAGATTGTTAATTATTGTTAATTATTGTCCCAAGCTGGCCACCCCCAGCCCCTCTTTGGCTTCGGCACAGCTGGACTGTCCTGAGACCCAAACTGGATTTAAGGCTGTTCCTGAGGAAATCTGAGTCTGAGCTTTTGCTCCCTCCCTCAGTGATTCACCTCTGTTCTTGCTCTCTCCCAAAGCCATATCCAAGGGAAAATAGGAGCAGCAAAGGATTGGGAATGATGCAATAGATGGGTTTGTCTTACAGGGATTTCAGAGTGTACTTAAAGGCTTGTACATGCAAATGAGTTTTATATTGGGGTGAGGGAAGAGCTGCTGAGTTTCCAAGCTCAGAAGAAAGGAGTAAGAAAGTGTTGCAGAGTTCTCACCTCAGGGATGAGATCAATCCCAAACTGTTGGGTAATTATGGATATGATTCCAACCAGAGTGGTAATACTGGAATTTAGTTAAACAGAGATTTAATATTCTGATTATGCAGTAGATGAGAAACAACTCATCCCAACTGTTGCTTTACGAGGACAAAGTCATTTCCTCCTTCTTCTTCCATCCTATTTTAATGGCATTAAATTATTTTAAAGGAAGAGAATGCTCTGTTGGCTTTTCACACAAATTTATTTTATACCTATAAGGAATCCACTTGGAGACTGACAACCCCTCAAACACCAATTGTGGTGTGTGTTCTAATAAATTGGTGAATATACTTCAGGTCACTATCAGGAACACAGGTTAATTAGAGAGAATTGCTGACAACAGCCAGACACAACAGAAAAACCTGCTGAGCTTCCCTGGCCATATTCCAGCAAGGAATAGATACAAAATTTAACGGTGTAACATCTCAAAATGCTCTGTTTCCTCTCAAAATAATGAACCAGAGGATATTTCTGATATTTAATTGTGTAACATCTCAAAATGCTCTGTTTCCTCTCAAAATAATGAACCAGAGGATATTTCTGATGGTTTTGTGGTGTTTCTCTCCCTCCAAGGCCTGATAATGACTGTCAGTAAACCCTGTTACTTTGGGAACCTCCTGCTGGGAATTGTTGGAGTAGATGTCAACCTTGCCTATATCTTGGAAGATGTCACCTATTACCAGGACTCCTTGGGATCCTACACCTTCCTCATTGATAATAAAGGTAATTTTGACTCAGACCATCTCCTCCAGTCCCACTGAGCTTGCGAGCCACCAATTCTGACTTCTCACATTTCTGAGGAATGAATGATAATATTTATTGAAAGTTTAATTGCGTGTTGTTGGTTAGTTCTGCCTGAATGTTGCTGGAGATTTTAGGTGGATTCATGACTTGAAACTTCTGTCCTGGAGTTCTGACTTGGAAACTCTTGCTGTAGGGATTTCCTACACCTGTGGCATCCAAGGTTTTCTGGGAAAGAGGGAAAACTGGTGTTGATGTGTGTGCCCAGCTCTTTCCCTCTGATCCAGCTTATTTTATTGCTGAATTTTTCAAGCTGGTTTTCATTTGCAGCCCCTTTGATGACAAGATTGTTTGGTCACTGCCATCCTTGCCAAAATTCTATGTAATTACTGTCTATTTGTTTTTCCCCCTAAAATACCTCTCCTGGGCTCAGTTTTGTGATGCATTCCACGTTTGGGGCTGTGTGTTTGTTTTCTAGGGTACACTCTGATGCACCCCTCCCTGACCAGGCCCTACCTGCTGTCTGAGCCCCCCCTGCACACAGACATCATCCACTACGAGAACATTCCCAAATTCGAGCTGGTGCGCCAGAACATCCTCAGGTAAGGAATGGATGCAGCACTGGGGGTATTTCAGTTTTTCTAGAGGAGTTTAAGACTACATAAGGTAAAATTCCTTTTCCTACAATATCTGGATTCTTGGATGGATTTTTTTCCCCATTAGCAATTTTGTTTTGATTTTCCCTCTAACTTTTTCAGTTGTCGTTTGTTATGTGGTGTTTCCCAGCTGATCTGGGGAATATTCCTTCTAATCTCTCTCTTCCCTGTCAGGAAAATTTCCTACTATTTGGTCTGGGTTTTTTCTTTATCCTTTGCCTATTCTGAGAGTTTTTAAGCTCAGAATGTGAGGGTGCATAAGTGCATTTGCAGCACACACACAGGCTTTCCTTCACCAAGCACAAATAACAGTTAATTCCTTCAATTCTTATGATAATTATATAAACACACAATAGAAGGATTTTGCTGAAGTCCTAACAGTTTTGCTCAGTGTTTAATAAACTGCTGGATGTTTTATCTGCCACTGCAGCATTCCCTTGGGCAGCCAGATCATCACAGTTCCTGTGAACTCCTCGCTGTCCTGGCACGTCAACAAGCTGAGGGAAATTGGGAAAGAAGCCTACAATGTCAGCTATGCCTGGAAAATGGTGAGGACAACAAGTGTGGGATGGCAGAGAGGGAATTCATGGCTCTGCTGCTGTCCTTCCTTCAGTCTGGGAATGTCTGGTCACTAATCTCAGCCTTGGGGTTAAAATGGGATCTGAGGTTAAACATAATCCAGGTGAATTCACCAATGCCAGCAAGAATCGGTTGCTTTGTGCTAACAAACTCAAGAAGGTACTTGTGGATCATTTCACAGTGTTCAGTTAAATCCAACCTAAAGGATTAAGCTGAGCAGTTTTAAGAGATTAAATCTGTCATTGTTTAACAGAAATTCACACAGGAAGGTGTCTGGAGCTGATTTTCTAAGATTGTAACAATGCATTTAATACCAAACTCCCTTTGCAGAGCAGCTGGGACACTCCCAGGTTTGCTGCTCTGGTGTAATTTAGAGTCCTTAAAATACCCAAACTAGTAAAACATCTGGACATGCAACACACAATTAAGAGTGGAAATAATAAAATCTTGCATTTGAGAGTTAATTTGTCTGTACTCTCCATAAAGGTAACACCAGTGTGTGTCCAGCAACTGGAAACCTGCAGCCTTTCCTCTGTTAGTGACAAAACATAACCATGAAACAGTGTTAGAATTAGAAATTATTGCTAATTGAGCGACAAAATGAAAGTCTGGTTTGGTTTTCAGGAAAAAAAAATGCAGTATTTTAATTTTCTGTGTTAACTGTGGCAAAGTTTATTTTGTAGAACTCAGTGGTTCTGAGACAGGAATTCTGTTTGTCCCCCACACTTTGGCTCTGTTTGGTGACTGGCTGGTGTTTTGCAGGTGCAGGACACATCCTTCATCCTGTGTGTGGTGGTGATCCAGCCAGAAATCCCCGTGAAGCAGCTGAAGAACCTCAACACTGTCCCCAGCAGCAAACTGCTCTACCACAGGCTGGACCTGCTGGGCCAGCCCAACGCCTGCCTGCACTTCAAGCAGCTGGCCACGCTGGGTAGGGCTCTGCCAGCCTGGCCTGGCCACCTCAGGGACACCCAGCCTAGGGAAAACCTCCAGGAGCCACTCCCAGCTGTGCCCAGTCCCCAGCTTGTCCCCAGCCCAGAGCACCGAGTGCCACCTCCAGACCTCTCTGGGCAGTTCAAGTGCCTCACCACCCTTTCCATGGGGAAATTCCTGCTGCTGTCCAGCCTGGGCCACCCTGGCACAGTCACACCTCCTGTGTGTTTCTGTAGAGTGTGGCAGCTCAGTGCCACCTCCAGGGATGGGCACTCCAAACCCCCTGGGCAGTTCCACCCTTTCCATGAGGAAATTCCTGCTGCTGTCCAGCCTGGGCCACCCTGGCACAGTCACACCTCCTGTGTGTTTCTGTAGAGTGTGGCAGCTCAAAGTAAAGCTCTTCTCACCATACATGGGAAATACTCTTCCCTTGAGAAGGTTTTGTTTCCAAGGCTGGTTTTCTGATCAGCTTTTTCCTTCTCACAGCTCTCCTTGGTTACAGTGGTCTGCTCAGTGTTGAGCCCTTCCAGGATCACAGCAGAGCCTGAGCTGGGTCCCACAGGGGTCATGGAGCCCAGCTCTGGAGGGAAGGGCCCACCCAGGGATTGAATCCATAACTTTGCTACCATCAGCACCAGATTTTAACCAACAAATTCACTTCTTGCAGGATGAATGAGTGGGGCTGCTGGTCAGAGTGGGGGATAAATGCCCTGGGAGTCCAGCAGGGTCCCTGGCAGTGCAGTGGGAGCAGTGGAGGTGTCTCAGCAAGCTTAACCCAAGTCCTCTCCTGGCTCTAAAGCACCTCCCTGAGCAGTACCAGAGTAGGATGAAGTCCCAGCCAGTTGTGCAGGACTCTGCTGCTCTTTTGCTCTGGATTCATGGGAGTTTTCCACTGCCAGAAGCATTGAATACCTTCAGAGGCAGAGGTTAAGCCTGCTGGGGAGAAGGAGAACTTCAGTGCTCTGATGGTTCCCAGGCCCTCCTCACCTGCTTCAAAACCCTCAGGTTTTGATAGGCTAAAGTGGTTCTGCTCTTCCTGACTGATTTCAAACATTGCTGGGAAAAAGAGAAAATCTCCATGGCAGTTCCAGTGTCTGGGAAAGATGGAGAATTTAAAACCCAGAAATATCCCAAGAACAGAGGGGTTTTACATAAACATCCTACACTGCAAGCTTTCATATTCAGGTATAGCTTGGGAGATCCCTCATATCTGTACTATAAGAAGTTCTGAATGAAATACTTCTGCTTGTAGCAGGGTTTGAAGGTCTCATGGTGAATTAGTGGCAAAGTTGTGAGATTTTCCTTAGCTCCTTGAAGCCCTGCAGAATTGCTCAGTGAGATCAGACCGGAGCAGGGACCTGACAAACCTCTGGAAATTGCTTTGCCAGTTGTTTAAAACACAGGGATTTTTTGTTTTGTTTTGTTTAATGTGCTGCCTAATCTTGATTATCTTATATCCAGAAATATATAAATGGAGAATATCCCAAAAATGCAGTACTAAGCTGTCAAGGGGGAAAACTTCATGCAAAGCAAAATCAGAATATTTGCTCTGGGAAGCAGATGAAGAGCTGGAGTAGAAGTTTGGAAGTGGGGGCTGCAGCACATGTGTGGGGATGTGTTTGAGAGGAGTGTGACTAAAAGCAGAACACTTCACATTCTGCACTGCAGCTTCTCCTCTGGAGCCCATTCCACACAGGGAATTTGGGTTCCATGGGTCACATCCTCAGAAAAGATCTTCTCAACCCTCAGCCCTGCATCATCATGATCATCTCTCTTTTTTAAAAAGGAAAAGCTATCTGGTTTTGCAGATTTTGCATGATGGAAGTTTGCTTTTGAGTTTGTTCTGAAGAGCACTCCAGACAGCTGCACTTTTATTGGGGAGCTCCTCTTCTGCACTTGGGATTCTCCAGATGTTCATTCTCTGGAACTGAAAATGCTCATTTTCATTTTCCTCTGGGATATCTCACCTAAACAGGGATACTTAATTTCTTCTTTAGCCCATCATCTTTTCTTAAAAGAAAACAGCTTCTGTAGTCTCACAGAAGGCAGTAATTCAGAAATTATTGAGGCTTTGGGAACAAAGGCATTAAATGACACACGGAGATCAGAGGAGGGGGCTGATGCTGTGACTTCTGTGTTTTGAGGCAAGAAGGGGAGGAATTAATGTTCAGCCTGAGTTTAGGATGAAACTCTGCTGGGAAGTGCTCTGGGTTGGGTGGAAAAATGGATGTTTGCCCTCCCTCCCAGTCCAGAGTGTCCTGCAGGAGCTGGGTGTTGTAGTTGAGATGGAGACAATACAAATACACTCCATTTTCAGAAGGGTTCAAACTGTTTTTATTATGGCATGCATGCTTTTTATATATTCTTACAAAACTCAGAAGTTTGCACTTTACTCATTGGTCATGAGAGACAAAATGTTTATTGGAATAGGCAGTTGCAGGTTTTTCTTATTTATTCTCCTTTCTTGATTTCTATATCAACAACCTCAGTAGAAAATTCTTTCAGGAGTGAACATGGATCCTCTTATCAAACTTCACTCTGGGTCTCAGAAGTCACAGTAAAACCTGTTCCACATTGGGCACTTTGTGTGCTGAGGTGTGGGAGAGCAGCAGGGACAGACACCCTCCCTGTGTGGTACAGACACCCTCAGAGCTCATCACACTGAAATCCCTGGTGTTTGGTGTTTGCAGAGAGCCCCACAGTGATGCTGTCTGCAGGCAGCTTCTCCTCCCCCTACGAGCACCTGAGCCAGCCCGAGACCAAGCGGATGGTGGAGCACTACACGGCCTACCTGAGCGACAACACGCGCCTCATCGCCAACCCCGGCCTCAAGGTGGGCACAGCACCCGGGCTGCTCTGCAATCCCCAAACCCCAGCACTTTGCACTGGGAGGGACCTCTGAGCCCATCCCATCCCATCCCATCCCATGCCATGCCATGCCATGCCATCCCATCCCATCCCACATCCCATGCCATGCCATGCCATGCCATGCCATGCCATGCCATGCCATGCCATCCCATCCCATCCCATCCCATCCCATCCCATCCCATCCCATCCCATGCCATCCCATGCCATCCCATGCCATCCCATCCCATCCCATCCCATCCCATCCCATCCCATCCCATCCCATCCCATCCCATCCCATCCCATCCCTGCTATGGATGCACCTTCCATTAGCCCAGGGTGCTCCTGATGCCTTGGGATTTTGGCTTTTCTGGTTTTCTGTATTTGTGATCCTGCAGTTCTTTAGTGCACAACTCTAAACTCCATATTCAGTGTGAGCTGCTGCTGTCCCATTTTGGGCAGACACAACAATTCCCCTCCAGGCCTGGCAATCAGGGACTCCTCACTGCCTCAGGCCCTGAGAGATGGAAACAAAAATGAGTTGGGGGGAGCAAACTTGGGGTGAATGACTTCATTACCTGAAGCTGTAATTGGAGGATTAATCCCCAATACGCAAATGGGCCAAACTTATAAAAGTGTGAAAATTTGTGTCCCATGGTCCATTTTGTGTGCAGCCCCTGGGGGCTTTGTCTACCCCAAAGGTACCTGAAGGCCCTTCAGTAAATAGAACTGCTTTTTATTCCCTTCATTTTGTCTGGCCTCTGTTTTTAGGTAAGCCCCAAAAAAGGCATCACCCCAACCTGGCCTTGGACACTTGCAGGCATCCAGGGGCAGCCACAACTCCTCTGGACAGCCTCACCCTCCCAGCCTGGAATTCCATCCCAACAACTGATCTAAGAGTGGAGAGAGGAGGGGGCCAGAACTTTGTTGAAACAAACACTAGAAAAGTTAAAACCACGCTAAGTGCTTAGCAGAAGCACCTTGTTGTTCCTAGGCATACAACTGAGAAATCTCTATTTTCTGTGCGAGAAGCACAATATTTATATTTACTCCAAGTTAAGAAAAGCCACAGAGATAACACCACCAATATTTCATTCTAATAATCTGCTTGGAATGTCTGGTGTGAGAAGCCTTGAACCACGTAATTGAGCCGCGATGATCCCCGGTGGCTCTCGGGGAAGCTTTTATTATCTTGCCATGCAAGGGCTGCAGGAACCCTGCCAGCTCTGCCTTTGTTTTGCAGTTCTCTGTCAGGAATGAAGTAATGGCAACCAGTCACGGCACGGATGAATGGATGACCCAGATGGAGATCAGTGGCCTCAACAGTTACATTGTCAGGCGTTACATAGCAACCCCCAATGGGGTGCTGCGCATCTACCCCGGCTCCCTCATGGACAAAGCATTTGATCCCACCAGGAGACAATGGTGAGTTTTTAGGGTCCCTTCAGCAAAGCTTTGAATCATCTCCCAGGGCAAGAAGGGAAATGTTTCGAGTTGATTTCGGGTTTGGAGTTGATTTCGTAGCCTGTGGGTTGTTTGTTTTTTGTTGTTTATTTTTTTAAATTTAGTTAAAAATGTTTTCAGCGTGGGGAAAAAGTTCAGAGCCTAAATGCAGTTCAAGCATTTACTGGTTGTAATTTCAGGCCTTTTTATTTGGGGGGGTAGTTGGTGTTTCATAGCCCAGCTATGGCAGATGGGGACATAAATATTCAGAAAATGAGCATCCCCTTCAGGGATTAGCTAACTCAGGAGTGTTTGAGCTCCTCGGGCCCTTTTTTGGTTGTTCATATCCGAGCCTTTTTGTTTGTTTGCTGTGGGTTTCCTCACTGCTTTCAAGGAGGGATTAATTATGCAGCAGCATCTGATTTGGGCAGAGAGCTGGAGACATTCCAGCTGGGAGCAGGCTCTGGGTGTGCTCCAAAGGCTGGGATCTGTGGGAAGGAGGTGCTGCCACACTGGGAAGGACACAGATCCCAACCCTGTGGCTCTGCAGTGCTCCTGGCAGCTCTCCTGCCCCGTTTCCCTGAGATTTGTAGTGGTATGGGAAGGAGGTGCAAGTCAAACACTGGGAGTAAAGCAGAAGTGGGTTAAGCTGCTCATGGGTCGGTGCTCTGGGTAGGGAGAAGCAAAGTGGTCACTTTTTCTTACAGAAAAGTGTTGCCAAAAGTTTTATCAACTTTGCTATGATAGTTTTACCAACTCTCCTATGACTGTGGCTGATTTTATGCCGATGGAAGTTGTAAGAGGTTGTAATTTATACTCACTGTCTGATATTTCTGAATTTTCTTGCCTCACTTCTGTTTCTTCTCCTCAGTTTGCAATATAATCATTTTGCCAGGGTTGAGTTTGAGACTTTGCTGGCACTAAGTCCTGCATTGTTCTGGGGGGAAATGTCTGAAATTACATTAAATGTGCTCTGTGCAGAAGTAAACTGAGCTTTTTTAATGCAGCTGGATCTACTGGGGGACCATTTATCGAGCCAGTCTGGGTTAGTTTGGAGTCCCAGTTGTGTTTAGGTACTTGTTTAATATTAAAAACCAATAATTTGGTGCCTGTTGTTCACAGTGTCCAAAATTCAGTGTTATTTTGGGAAAGTCAGGGATTCTGTCTTGAAGTTACAGACTTGGGCACTGATTGTGAGCATTTCTTTTGGCTTCCCTCAGGTACCTGCATGCAGTGGCCAATCCAGGACTAATCACCTTTACTGGGCCCTACCTGGACGTGGGAGGGGCTGGATATGTGGTGACCATCAGCCACACTGTGCATTCCTCCAGGTGAGGGGCTCTGGGGCTTTGGGGCAGGCAGGAGGACTCTGAATTACCAGAGCTGGGTGACTCTGTGTGCTCCAGAACTGAAAACCAAAGCTGGTCCTAAAGTGCTGCTGGTGAAATGTCATCTGAAAAAAAATGGGGCATTGAAACACTGGGAGAAATCCAATTTATAGGAATATGTGAATTCTGTGGTTTTATTGGTAGAGGAGTAATAACAGCATATTTTAAAAAAAAAAAGGATTGATTGGTGGGAAAGTGCTCCTGGATGAGCACGAGGTGGGATGTCCAAGAATTGGGAGGAGGAGAGGGATTGCTCTCCTGAGGCACTTTGGGCAGTGTTCCCTCTCTGCTGGAAGTTCAGTCCTTCTCCATCAGGACTGCCAAGCTCCCCATTCCTGGAGTCCCCCACACCTCCACCTGGGGGCTTTAAGGAGCAGGGAGGAGTTTGGAAGGGACTGGAGGCCACAAAGAGGGTTAAGGACAGAGCTTTCCTTACTCCAGGAACTGGGGAGCTCCTCTCCTGGGCTGCTTCAATCCAGCACTTCTGGGTTTCCAAAGCCTATGAAACTCCAAGAGCCCTTGCAGGATTGCTGGGAGCAGACTGGAGTGGGAGCAGCAGGGCCAGGAGCTGGGCTGGATGATCCCTGTGGGTCCCTTCCAGCTCAGGATATTCCATGGTTCTATGAAATGACTTTTTCCTGGAGGACCAGGCTGTTGCTGTTCCAGCTCCCTCCTTGCCAGGCCCCAGGCTGAGGCCAGGATTAGGGATGCAGGATGTTTAAAGGAGCCCAGTTTATAAAACATGGACCTAACCTTGCTGTCCTGAGCTCTCCAAAATTCCCAGAACTGCAGTTACCTGCCCTGCTTTTTACATGGAGTCTCCCCCAAGCTCCCTCCCCAGCAGCCCAGCAGTACCAAGGGAATTCCAGTGCTGTACTGGGAACCAGGAACCCCAAAGCCAGCAGGGATCAGGACGTGGCTCCTCCACTCTGCCAGAGATTCCCCTGCTCTGGGTGGGATTTCTCACCTCTGCCTGTGTGTTCTGGCTGGAGCATTTGCAGCCCCAGCCCCTGCGTGGTGCTTCTCACAGAGGAATTTACTTTGGGGAAACACTTCTGTAAGGAGAGAAGTGCAATTAATCAAAATTCTGATTTTTATCTAGCAAGGGATGGTTTACTCAGCTCTAAGAACTTAAAGCTCCTGTGGGTTATTAGAACATGATTAAAGAGCAGTTAAACAAAGTTTGGCAGATGTGAGTGTGATTCCTGGGTAAATATGACCTCTGAAGCTCACAGTCACATGTGGTTATAATCCCCAAAGAGGCCTGAGCTCCAAATCCAGAGGGGTGGGGAGGAATCTGTGGAGTTAAGAGGAATTTTGGCATTAGGGACTGCTGGGAGGGTTTAAATACCCACATCAGGGCAGCCAGAGCTGACACCTCTCATTCCCATTTTATGTGTATCTTATTCCTTTTTATGGAGGCTGGGAAGAGAAGATTTATGCCTGATGTGGTTTAATGCAGTTGGCATCAGCAAAGCAGGAGGATTTAATGCTTGAAAATGAAGCTAAAATATTTACAACATCCTAATGGCTTTATGTCTGTTAGGACAGAGCAGAACTTCAGAGCTTGATGCCTTGTCACACATGAAATGTGTCTGTGCTGCTTCACTGCCATCCTTCCCTTCCTCCTCCAGGAAATGTGAACAATAAATCAAATGCAGGTTTTAAAAATCTGTATTCATCTGTCTACAAATGAGATTTGACTGCATCTCCACTGCACCTCTTTGAAAAGCAAACAAACCTCAGCCCAGTAAACAGAGCTGGGTTTCCATGGAGCAGGGGTGGCCAGAGCTGTTTGTGCAGCCCAGCTGGGCCTTGCAGCATCTTCATTTTTTTCCTTTTTCTAAATATTTTCATTCCTGTCTTCAGAGATTGAATAAAGGAGAAAAGTGAATTTTGAGGAGCAGCAAGTCAGAGGTGTAAGGTCCACATGGGTGCAAATCCCACACCCTTGAGCTGATCCTTCTGTGTCCTGCAGGGGGGAGAGGGAACTGTCTGGCTGTGGCCTCTCAGTGCTACTGGGAGCAAACTGGGAGCACTGGGGTGTTAGGAATGGAGGAAGGACAAAATGCAGCCTCAGGCTGCTGCACACCACCACATCACAGGGTCCTTTTCATAACTCACCCTAAGAAATGTTATTTTCTTCTAATTTTCTGCCTGCCATTCACAATCACTCCCACACTCTGGAGTGTCAGGGATTTAGCTCAAAGTCTGGCACCTTCACATTCATTCCTCCTGCTGGGGGCTGAGCAGAGGGGGTTCAGGTAACTCCTTCAGCTGGAGGAATTGGAGAATACAGGGGCTGCGTCCTCTCATTGTTTGTGTGGATGGGGAATTTTTAATCCTAATTTCTGTCGCTCAGGATTCAATGTCTGTAGGTGGTAGGGGCGTGTATGGGGTGGGATCCAGTCCTGGGCTTCTCCTGTGCTGGCTGTACAAGGGGTAATTAAAACAGGAATTATTATTATTATTATTATTATTATTATTATTATTATTATTATTATTATTATTATTATTATTATTATTATTATTATTTATTACCCCGAATAAAGATTATTTTTGATTATTTATAATATTTATAATTTTTCCCTTTCCCCTCACTGCAGTGCTCAGATGTCCTCAGGACACTCCGTGGCTGTGATGGGCATCGACTTCACCCTCAGATATTTCTACAAAGTCCTCATGGACCTGCTGCCAGTTTGTAACCAAGATGGGGGGAACAAAATCAGGTAAAAATAAATAAAATATTTATTTTCTTTAACCAGATGACCCAGAGGACATTTCCAACTTAATTTCTCCAAGGATTCTGTTACTTTCAGTGTGTGTTCTCTGATTTCCAGTAGAACTTGTGCTTGTCCTTCTCATAAAGATTATGTGGATGTTTTTGTTATTCCAGATCAAACTGCCATCAGCTAAATAAACAATCTGCAGGATTACAAAAGCAGAAGATAACAGATTTGATTTGATTTTTTTTGTTATATTTAGACTTCTTTGAAATTCTGGGTAGAAAAAACATTCCTTATTAAATGAACACACTTCCCAGTTCTCCTGTTTGTTTTAATTTAACCTATTTAGTTCCTGTGAGCGTGTAAGAATGATATAGGATCTCAGTTATTTTAACTCCAATTATTCAAGTACAACTTTGGGATTTTTTTTCTCAGAAATCCATAGCACAGCCTAGGCAGAAGAAGTTTGATTTCGTCTGGAGTATCCAATTTCAGTCAGACCCCTGGGTATCTTAATTGTTCCTTTTTTGAAAAATCCTGTGGGAGTGGGATAAATTCTGGTTTGGATCTGGAGTAACTTGATCATGTGGTTTGGGCATTGCTGTTGGTTCTTTGTTTGTTTTTAAACCTTAAATTTGGGAAGGGAAGTGGTTTTCTGTCGTCCTCCCAGTTCTTTTCTGGTTTGGGTATTTTTCTATATATTTTATGGCATATAAAAAAAACCAAATCAGGATTTCTGGTTTGGCATCACTCCCTCCCAGTAAAAAACTGCTGCTGATCAGCAAGGTCAGATGCTTTATTCTGTTCCTGCATTCCCCAAATGAGGAATTTTGAGGATATTTTTCAGACCATTCTGATGCAGAAATTGGATCCAATGTTTCCAGTCTCGATATAAACGCAGGTGTTTGGGGTTTTGTAGTGTTATCTCTCCTAAGCTTTTCCTGTCAGGAAAAAGAGCAAACACCACATCTCTGTGTGGATTTCTAATGGAAACCCCCCAAAAACTCCAAGTCTGTACCCCTGAAGAGCACAGAGGCTTCCCCTGCTCTCTGTTCCCCCCGAGCTGCAGTGGGTACCTGACACATGCCATGGGAATCCCACTGAAAGCTGCTCCAGCCCCAGATCCAGCCGGGTCCCTGCTGTGCCAGGGCTGTGGCTGCCACCCTGCTGAGCTTTTGGGAACATCAAGTGGGGTTTGAACCTCTCCCTGTCCCCTCCGTGGCCACCGAGCCCCTGATGTCGGTGCCACCCCTGTCCTGTGCCTTCCCCAGCGCTGCCGTCTGTGGCCATGGAAACGGGAGAGGGGAAAAAGGGAAAAAGGGATGGATTGAACTCCCTGGATTCTGGATTGGGACACAGCTCCAACATGGGAAGAGCTGAAAAGGGAGAGGAAAGCTTGGGAGGGCTGGGAGTGGAGCAGGAGTGATTTATCCCCCACTCAAATCGAATTCTGAAGGGGGAGGGCATTAAAGGAGAGTGTGAAATCTCTCTTTAATTAGCCACATAGTAAATTAATAAACCATTAAAGCTTTCCAAGTTCATTAGGCTCTGTTCATTTCTGGCTCTCCCCCAATCAGACAATGCACTGATGGCTTTTCCTTTCTGGTTTTAATCAGCTCTGTTTTCAACTCCTTGATGGTCCTGGCTCTCTGGAGCAGTAACAGATGGAAAAGCTTTGGGGAAATACCCAACACATTTTTAAGGACATTTTTCAGGAATTTCTTTCATGGCCCTGCTAAATGGAAACCTTTAAAAGCCCTTTAAGACCATGTTTTATTTCACCCCGTTGCCCTGAAGCCCAAGGAGGTCTAACAGGAGGCTCTTGCTGTGTTTTGGGGGCAGGTGCTTCATCATGGAGGACAGGGGGTACCTGGTGGCACATCCAACCCTCATCGACCCCAAGGGCCACGCGCCCGTGGAGCAGCAGCACATCACTCACAAGGTCTGCCTGCTTTCCCTTGCCTTGTCCCACACCTCTCATTCCTGTCTGGGTCTGATTCCAAAGGCATCAAATGCTGCCTTTCCCCCTTAGGAGCCTCTGGTAGCGAACGACATCCTGAACCACCCCAACTTTGTCAAGAAGAACCTCTGCAACAGCTTCAGCGACAGGACCGTGCAGCGCTTCTACAAATTCAACACCAGCTTAGTGGTGAGCCTGGTTTCTCTCTGATTTGGCTTTTGAGTGCCTTTGCTTGGGTTGGGTTTCTCCTGGTGGAAACACAAGTCCCTGCCAGGCTCAGCAGCAGGGCTGGGAGCCAGCTTCCATGGGGATTGGCCTCTGTTCCCCTTCTCCAGACACAAACAGAGTCCCCTGACATGCAGGGGTTATGGATGTGAGCCCTGGCCAAGTGTGGCTTCTGTCTGCAGGGTCTCAGCCAGCACCAGGGGAAGAAGAGCAGTTTGCTGTTGCTGGGTGAGGATTTTCCAGCTATAGCTGGGATGTGTTGCTTTGGATCTGAGCTGACCTCTGGCTCCAGCTCTGGCCAGTGTCACATCCTCCTGTCAGATCTCTAATAACTTACCTTTAGGTGTCCAAATAAATCCATTTACTGGTGAGCATTCCCAGGCTGTCATTTGTGAGATTGAAATCTCTGGGGTCCTGCACACTCTGTGCTCTCCATGGATCCTGTGTGAGCTTCCCCTCATGAGGAGTCTAAACCAGGGGCTGTCATCCCTCACAGAGCCACGGATCCACCCTGCCAAAGTCCCTCCACAGTGATTCCAAAGCTGCTACACTGTGGGAGAAGATTGGAAAATATTTGCAAGTCATGTCAGAATACATTGATTTATGTCAGGTTGGCTTAAACATTTTCCCCACACTTGAAATGCCAAGTGGGAAGTGTGATGTTGGGAAGGAAATTGTGTAGGACGGAGCAGAAACTTGTAGAAAGGAATCAGGAAGAAATCTGCAGGAGCTGGGCAGTGCTGTGGTGGCTTTTCCTAAGGCTCAGGAAGTTTCCAGCACGTGGTGGTGGCTCCCATCAGAGCCTTGGGGAGGTCACTGAGAGCTGGCACCGTGGGGATGGGTCAGGAGTGCTGGGAAGGAGTGAAATGTCACCTCTGCTGCCACATCTCATTTTCACAACTAAGCCAATTCCCTTCTACCTTCAGCAAAGCCTTTTCACCCAGAAGTATCTGGGTAGCAAAACTTACCCACTCCTTAATCAGCCTCTGTGTTGTGAGGGTGGCACTCCCTCACAAAGCTCCTGAGGGGAGCCACCAGTTCTGGAAGCTGTGGCAGAATCCGTGTCCCCACAGCTCTGTAGGATCCCTGGGGAAGGGAAGAGTCTTCAGCTCCCTAAAAGAACATCTGACACCACTGACCCCTTGTTTTTTTGCCCAGGGTGACCTGACCAACCTGGTGCATGGCAGTCACTGCTCCAAGTACAGGCTGACGAGGATCCCGGGCACCAACGCCTTCGTGGGCATCGTCAACGAGACGTGCGACTCGCTGGCCTTCTGTGCCTGCAGCATGGTGGACAGGCTGTGCCTCAACTGCCACAGGTGACACTGCTGTCCTCAGCCCTGCTCTGAGGCTCAGCACAGCCAGCTCATCCCTTCACTCAGGGTGAAATCGGGGAGAGTAAGAGTGCTCTGCCTGTGCCCCTGTGAGAGGTGCAGGGTATCTCTGCCAGGCTGTCGGAGAGTTTAACCCAGGGGAGTTTGGGTGGGTAATGCTGAAAGACACTGAGATCCTGTGGCTCAAGAGCAGTTACTGTGAGTGAGGTATAGAAATTCCTATGGCGTAGAAATTGCCATGATTTTCCATGGATTGGGGGGTTTTCATTGAGGGGATCCAGGAGGTTCTGCCCACACCATCCTGAGGTGTTTGTGGCACTGCCAGGAAGGATCCCTACATCCATCCCTGCTTTTGGGGTTCCAGGGGTGGATCACCCTCAGTCCTGGTGCAGGGCAGAGCAATCCCTGTTCCTGGGGAAGGAGCAGAGTCACTGCACAGCCTTTTCCATGGGAACTGCTGCTCCAGAGCTGCAGCACCATGGAGTTGAAATCCCAGAGGTGTCTGATGGGTTTTCCCTGTGCTTTGTGCCCTGCAGGATGGAACAGAACGAGTGTGAGTGTCCCTGTGAGTGCCCACTGGAGGTGAACGAGTGCACTGGGAACCTGACCAACGCTGAGAGCAGGTGAGAGCCAGGACACTGCAGGAACAAACTCCCTGTTGGTCCTGCTGAGATGCCACAGGCAGGATTTTCAGTACAGTGAAGCAGATGACATGCAGGAGGTGAAGATGATTTGAATGGACTGTGCTCTGAGTGCTGTGTTCTTTGCTGCCATGCAGGAATCCCAGCTGTGAGGTGCACCAGGAGCCAATGACTTTCACAGCCATCGATCCCAGCCTGCAGGATGCACTCCCCCAGTGCATCAACACCCAGTGCAACCAGAGGACAGAGAGTGGGTAAGGTGGCCTTCCCCACCCCTTGGAATACTCTCTTGTGGAAATAGTCCAATGGCAATAGCTCTGCTTTAAATGTTTCAAAGAAAAAAAAAATAGAGGGGAAAAAAGCATGATGCCAGAATGAGGTTCTACTCCTGGCACTGAGGGCTCATTTTTGCTTGTTATGAGCAGCCTCCAGGGACCTGAGATGGGTAAAACACACCAAGCTCTGACCAGGCTGCCCAAATCTTTTCTTCTTTCTTCCAAATGCTGCAGAGAAAGGCTGGAACTGCAGCCAGACTTCACCACACTGAGAAATGTCTTATTGGAGGAGTCACAAGTAGGATTCTCCCTTTGCTCAGGCTGAGTGGTGCAGGAAAATACCAAAGCAGACAGAGTTGGAAAAGGGATGCTGGAAATGCAACTTCCCTGTGTAACTTCCCTTGTGGTACTCGAGCACTCCCATGGGATTTTTCCTGGCTAAACTCACATACTTGAGGGTCTACAGATGCTCTTGGCCTCTCCCTGTCTCGTGGCTCTAACCCAGACTGAGCTTTGCAGAGGAGAGGTGTTAAGCTGGAAAGTAACCACGTCCTACTTGGTTGTTGGCATGCAGGGATTGCTTTGGAGTGCTGGACTGCGAGTGGTGCATGGTGGACAGCGATGGGAAGACCCACCTGGACAAGTCCTACTGTGCCCCTCAGAAGGAATGCTTTGGTGGCATTGTGGGAGCCAAGAGTCCCTATGTGGACGACCTGGGAGCAATAGGTAACTCTGCCTTTCTGAGCTGCTGCTGCTGCCTTCAGCTCTTTGTGTCCCAGAACATGCAGCAGGTTCTGCACATAACATTGACCTCTTAGCCAGTGCTAAATCAGCATAAAGAGTGCACCAGGCAGCAAAGATGTGGTGAATATCCCCTTCTGGAAAATCCTGATGTGGAGCTGAGTGTAACTGTGCATTCCTGGCTTCTCTCTGAGTTCCTTCTCCTATTCCAAATGAGCACAGTCAGGTATCCAGAAATCTTTGCAGAGCTTCTCCATGTTCCATATTGTTGATTTAACCCTTCCTGTACTTCTCGGAGTTTCCTCTCCTATTCCGCGTGAGCACAGTCAAGCACCCAGAAATCCTTGCAGAGCTTCTCTATATTCTATATTGTTGATTTAACCCTTCCTGCACCTGAGTTCCTTCTCTTCTCCATGTTCCATATTGTTGATTTAACCCTTCCTGCACCTCTCTGAGTTCCTTTTCCTATTCCAAGTGAGCACAGTCAGGCACCCAGAAATCCTTGCAGAGCTTCTCCATGTTCCATGTTGGTTTAACCCTTCCTGCAGAGCATTCACGGCGTTGTTCTCCCTCTGCTTTGTCCCTTTTGCTTTAGGAGATGAGGTGATCACCCTGAACATGATCAAGAGTGCCCCCGTGGGCCCCGTGGCTGGCGGCATCATGGGCTGCATCATGGTGCTGGTGCTGGCCGTGTACGCGTACCGGCACCAGATCCACCGCCGCAGCCACCAGCACATGTCCCCGCTGGCAGCACAGGGTGAGCTCCACTCGGGGGCTGGGGATGGAAACAAACCCAGCAGCACGACTAAACTCAAAGGAAAAGCAGTCCCAGAGCTGCCCCCCCGGTGTTGTTGCGGTGTTTCCCTGGTTTTGGTCTGGTTGGAGCTGCAGGGAGCCGGGCCTGGCGCAGGGGCTGTGTCTTGCTGCCCTCTCCTGGGTACAGCCAGAGCTGCTGCTGCTGCCCAGGGAGCCTGCCCAGACCCAAAGGGAGATAAGCTAAGCTTTGCCAGAGCTCAGACACTAATCCCAGCTTTCTGCAGCTCGGCCCAGCAGATCCATCATGTGTTTATTTTGTGCGGCTGCTGGCAGTGACACACTTCTCACCCCTTCTGCCTTGGGTTTGGCATGTGTCTTCTTTCACTTGTGTTTCCTGGTTCTGGTCCATGTGATGTTCATGGAATGTCTGTGCACAGAGAGATGAAAGTACTGACGTCTGAGAGGCAAAATTGTGCTGGGAGAAGGGATACTGGTACAAAGATAAAGATCCAGAGGTGAGAACACCTCCCTGGAAGTGTTCCAGGCCAGGCTGGACAGAGCTTGGAGCAGCCTGGGATAGTGGGAGGCTGGAAAAAGATGGGCTTCAAAGGCCCTTTCCAAGCCAAACCATTCTGGGAATTTAAGTGTGATCAGAGCTAATTACCTCTATATTTGATCATCCCCCAGCTCTGTTGTAAATCAGAACTTTAAGGAGTCCCTTTCAGGGGAGGTGGGATGAGGCATTTCCTGCTATCCCAGCCCCATCCACATTGGAAGAAGAGCACCCCCAGCTCAGACCAGTAACACAAAGTGTTTCCACTCTTGTTCCTGGGGTGGCAGTTGGCAGTAAGAGGGTGCAGAACCTTTCTCTCACCAGCTGTATTTTCTGTTTGTAACTCTGTGTAGAAATGTCAGTGCGTATGTCCAACCTGGAAAACGACAGGGACGAGAGGGATGACGACAGCCATGAAGACAGAGGAATCAGTAAGTACCAAAAAAACTGGGAAAAACTCTGAGATTCAATCAGCCATTTGTTTTTTAACACCCTGGATTTGAATATGTGAGGATGCCCTGTGCTGATCAGCAGTAGGAAATGAAAGAGCAATCTTTGAATTCAGACATCTGGTCCACCTTTAGTCTCATGCTGAGAAATGACATTTTTCACTTTTAAAAGATAATTCTCCATTGGGTGTGGAGGAGTTTTGCCCCTTACAGCCCCCTGTCACGAGCACTTCCAGAAATAGCTCTGATCACCTTAAAAATTGCCACTGTGACAGCACAGGGTGTGGAAAACCCTTCCTCATTTTTGGCCTTAGAAAGCAGAAGCCAAGTCTGGCAAGTATGGCCAGCAAACATGACAGTAAATCTTTTTTGCATTGATTTGGGGTGCCTGCAGTTCTCTGCCATCCAATAAAAATGGCACTTTGCATGATCCTGGTGTGCTCTAAGTTGAGCTGGTGCACCCAAACTCCAGGGGAGCTCCAGGTCAAACTGGATCCCTGGCATTGGGCCCTCACTAAAACAATACTCGGGATTTGAAGCATATCTTGCATGTACTGCCTCTCACATCCCTTTTTGTTCCCTTTGGAGCCCTTACACTATGGCCACGGGACCTCAGCCCTGGCACTGCCCAGCTGAAGGCTCCTGGCTGGATGTTGACCCTTGTGAAGCCCAGCTCTCTGCTGCTGTGTGGCCGGGCAGTGCCCTGTGCAGCAGAGGGCTGCAGGCTGCTGTGCTCTGAGCTGTTTGTGTCTGTCGCAGTCAGCAACACTCGCTTCATCGCCGCCGTCATCGAGCGCCACGCGCACAGCCCCGAGCGCCGCCGCCGCTACTGGGGCCGCTCGGGCACCGAGAGCGACCACGGTGAGTGCTGGGCCCTCAGCAGGGCTGGGGGCTCCTCTCCCTCAGGACACTGCCTCAGCAGGGCTGGGGGCTCCTCTCCCTCAGGACACTGGCTCTGGCAGGGCTGGGGGCTCCTCTCCCTCAGGACACTGGCTCTGGCAGGGCTGGGGGCTCTTCTCCCTCAGGACACTGGCTCTGGCAGGACTGGGGGCTCTTCTCCCTCAGGACACTGGCTCTGGCAGGATTGGGGGCTCTTTTCCCTCAGGACACTGGCTCTGGCAGGGCTGGGGGCTCTTTTCCCTCAGGACACTGGCTCTGCAGGGCTGGGGGCTCTTCTCCCTCAGGACACTGGCTCTGGCAGGATTGGGGGCTCTTTTCCCTCAGGACACTGGCTCTGCAGGGCTGGGGGCTCCTCTCCCTCAGGACACTGGCTCTGGCAGGGCTGGGGGCTGTTCTCCCTCAGGACACTGGCTCTGCAGGGCTGGGGGCTCCTCTCCCTCAGGACACTGGCTCTGGCAGGGCTGGGGGCTCCTCTCCCTCAGGACACTGGCTCTGCAGGGCTGGGGGCTGTTCTCCCTCAGGACACTGGCTCTGCAGGGCTGGGGGCTCTGCTCTCTCAGGACACTGGCTCTGTAGGATTGGGGGCTGTTCTCCCTCAGGACACTGGCTCTGGCAGGATTGGGGGCTCTTCTCCCTCAGGACACTGGCTCTGGCAGGGCTGGGGGCTCTTCTCCCTCAGGACACTGGCTCTGGCAGGGCTGGGGGCTCTTTTCCCTCAGCAGGCTGGCTCCCTGCAGAAGGAAAGCCAGAGTAAACGCTTTGCTCCTTCTGGCTTTGCTGTTGGACAGTTCTGATTGGATTTGTTCTGGAGGAGATCTCCCTGGGGTCCTCAACATCCTCCTGAGGGGCAGCTCTGCTCCCTGTGACAGGGACAGGACCAGGGAATGGCTGGAGCTGTGCCAGGGGAGGGTTGGCTGGAGATCAGGAGAAGGTTCTTCCCCCTGAGGGAACTGGAGGCACAGGACAAAGGGAATGGCTTCACACTGAAAGGGAGTGGGAGTAGATCAGAGATTAGGAAGGAATTGTCCTGCCCAGAGCAGCTGTGGCTGCCCCTGGATCCCTGGCAGTGTCCAAGGCCAGGCTGGATGGGGTTTGGAGCACCCTGGGATAGTGGAAGGTGCCCCTGCCATGGCAGGGGTGGAATGGGATCATCTTTAAAGGCCCTTCCAACCCCCAAACCATTCTGGGATTCTCTGATCTTCCATCACCTTTAAGCTGGGCACCATTAGGCTCAGGGGGTTGGGATGTGTCTCCCCTGCCCTGAGACTAAATCTCCTTAAATCTGGAAAGCTGCTAGAAGGGTGTAATGCTGTTGACCCATGAGGAGGCTTAATTTATTAGGAAGTGAGGAGGCCTAGACAAGGCAGTCTGCAAGCTGTCAGCTCTGCAAGGCTGGGGACCTTCCAGCAGACCTGGCCCAGCTCTAAGACTCTGTTGCACTAATGGAATTGGGACAGGAAACCCAAAGGCCAAAGCCTTGGAAGGTGGATGAACAGATGTCTCCTAGACAATCTTGCTCTAGGAGACTTACCCTGGATTTGGGGTGAGATTACCTGTGCTGAGGCAGATTTGCCAGATTAATGCTCCCTTTGCTCCTTTTCTTGCAGTCCCAGCAAATCCTTCCCATCTTTTAGTCATCCTGGGTTAGCAGGGGAGCTGTCTACCTCCATCTGGAATGTGCACTGCTATTTTTAGTTTCTGTAATTCCATCTTCTTCAAAGGGCTGCCCAGGCTTCTTCCCCAATTCCTCCGTGCCAGCTCCAAGCCATGACTCAGAGCGTGGCAAATGGGAGGCAGCTTTAGGGGCTCAGCTGCTATTTTTACCACCCTCCTTTTAGGTGTCTCCAGCTGAAAACCTGAGTGAGATGCTCAGGAGCACCAGAGCTTCCTCAGCCTTTAGTCCTTTTTTTTTGAGAAGGGTTTATTTCCAACTCAAGGAAGATCTCTTTAAATTTCATTTGGTTTTGCATTTAGAGGTGCTGAGGGGGAGTTGTTTGCCCTGCAGCCTGGTCTGGGTAGTAACAGCTGATTAGGATAAATCCAGGTTATACCTTAACAGATTTTTTGGGGGTGGTATCTTTGATGTTTTGGTTTGAAATCAGTGCCAGCAATTCTGTTGTTACAAACTGTTGAACACGTGGGTGCTGTTACTGTTTGGAGTGGCACAAACCACAGATCCCCAAAGCTTTGAACCAAAGGTGATGGCAAAGGGATCCAGTATGGACTTACAGGGGAGGATGAGTTTGTTGGGGTTTGTTGTTTTAAGAAAATTGTTTTACACACTCTCTAAGCACCCTTTGTGTGATTCCATGAAGGTGCCCAGCCAGCCCTGGGAATTCTGAGTGGCAGGGAAAGGGATCTGTTATAGGGTTAGGGGAGAGGATGAGTGTTGGGGTTTGTTCTAGTAAGAGAACAGTTTTGTTCCCTCTCTAAGGGAACAAAATCCCTGTGTTGATTCCATGAAGGGTGCCCAGCCAGCCCTGGGAGTTGTGAGCATCCAGAGCTGTGCTCACTGCTGCTGTTCATTCCCAGGCTACAGCACCATGAGCCCCCAGGAGGACAGCGAGAACCCCCCCTGCAATAACGACCCCCTGTCTGCCGGCGTGGACGTGGGGACCCACGACGAGGACCTGGAGCTGGACACGCCCCCGCAGACAGCAGCGCTGCTGAGCCACAAATTCCACCACTACCGGCTGCACCACCCCACCCTGCACCACAGCCACCACCTGCAGGCCGCTGTCACCGTGCACACCGTGGATGCCGAGTGCTGAGGACAGCACAGCCACCCCCTGCAGGCTGTGACACTGGGGGCATCACAGTCACCCCCTGCAGGCTGTGCCACTGGGGACACCATAGCTGCCACCTGCAGGCTGCCACAGCCACCACCTGCAGGCCACTGTCACCGTGCACACCGTGGATGCCGAGTGCTGAGGACAGCACGGCCACCCCCTGCAGGCTGTGCCACTGGGGACAGCACGGCCACCACCTGCAGGCTGTGGCACTGAGGACATCACAGCTGCCACCTGCAGGCTGTGGCACTGGGGACAGCACGGCCACCACCTGCAGGCTGTGCCACTGGGGACAGCACGGCCACCACCTGCAGGCTGTGCCACTGGGGACATCACAGCTGCCACCTGCAGGCTGTGGCACTGAGGACATCAGAGCCGCCACCTGCAGGCTGTGGCACTGAGGACATCACAGCTGCCACCTGCAGGCTGTGGCACTGAGGACATCAGAGCCGCCACCTGCAGGCTGCCACAGCCACCACCTGCAAGCCACTGTCACTGTGCACACCGTGGATGCTGAGTGCTGAGGACACCACAGCCACCACCTGCAGGTTGTGCCACTGAGGACATCACAGCCACCACCTGCAGGCTGTGGCACTGAGGACATCATGGCCACCACCTGCAGGCTGTGGCACTGAGGATATCACAGCCACCCCCTGCAGGCTGTGGCACTGAGGACATCAGAGCTGCCCCCTGCAGGCTGTGGCACCGTGCACTGAGGACACCACAGATGCCACTCCAGGGCCATGGGGGCTCTGCTGCTCCCCAAGGACAACCTCACAGGCTTCCCCACCAAACTGAGGCATCAGAGCTTTGCATTTTTACATATGGAAGGTTGGCTCTGGCCTGCAAACGTGCTTGATGAATGGACCTGCCAAAACACGGAGAAAAGTGGAGCAGGAGGCGGGTTAGACCTCCAGGAACAGGGATGGGAGTTTATCCAGCAGCTGGAGTTTGTTTGCTGAGCCAAGAGCAGACAGAGAGCATAAAGAGCCAGAGATGATTTGGTTTCCTTAACTGGAAGAGCAGGAATGTGCAGCTGGAGAGCCCAGAAGTGCCAGGCAGAGCAGGAAGGCTGCTGGCTTCTCTGCAGGTGGAGATCTCCCTGTGCCCACGTCGCTCTGCGGGACCCAGGACAATGCATCTCAAGATTTTTAAGTAAAGGATTATTTTTCTACTATTTATTGAACTTGAAACTTTGGGGGGAGGGAGGGGAGAAAACCTGTTAGGGATTCTCAACAAGTACCACGTGCATTCTGTGCTGGGGAAGGGGCTCTTCCCAGGAAAACAGGGAGAGTTTCCCTGGGAGCTGCCCTTCAGCCAGTGCCCCACTCTGCAAAGGGAAAATGAAGAAGCCCTCTCTGCCTCGCTGTTTACATTAGGATTGCTTTCTTTTCCACACTTGTTTCCTGTAAATATTACAGCCTGATTTCTATTCCAGTATTGTCTTCCTATCTGCAGAGGAGAAATCCTGTATTCCGTTACTAAAATTCAGAGAATTCTGCCCAGAAACTTCTCCATCTTTATCTCTTCGCTCATCCTTAAAGGATTCCTGTGTGGAAGTAATAAAGAATTTCTTTAGCATTAGTTACCAGATAATCCCAAATGGAATCTGTGCCATTCTTCTGTTTCCTTGGACCACAAGTAGGGATAAACCAGTGTTTTGTAAAACTTGGGTTACTGTGGAAGAAACCTTGAAACCATAATGAGAAGCTGCTGCTGTTTGTCTGGAATTTTAACCTTGCTTGGTAATTCAAACAAAGATTAATCAATGTCTACAACAAAGGGCATCATAATTATCAATATGTTTTCAATCACAGTGTTGTATTTTAGATTCACATTTTGTGATTACAATGATATCAAGCCGTTCTTGCACTGTGCATATGGTAAACATCCATTTATATGTAGGTTTTTTAAAAAAAATCACTTGTTTTAATTAATATGGTACTTAATACTGTATTATGTAAAAAATTGGTTCTTAAACAGTACAGTAAAATAACTCTATGTGTGATACCAGGATATCCCTTTATACTATGTATAAAATTAAAATCTCTAGTGAAATAAACTGTATATAAGTATAGATCTGTGAAGATTCTGAAATGATCTGCTGTGAAGATTCTGAAATGATTCTGCCTCAGTTTCCTTCTCTGGCTGAACAGGACTGAAAATTCACTCCAGTTCCTCCAGTTTTATCAACAGCCTTGAGAAATGTAAACTTTAAATATAAATGACAGTACTGAGGGAAGTTGTAAAGCCTTTTTTTAGCTGGTTGGTCATTATTTGGGAAATGACCATTTCTGGAACTGGTCAGCCACTGCTTAGAGTCACCAAAGCAAATAATTTAAGGGGTTTATTTCCTGATCCTCTCCTGAAACCTCAGTGGCTCTGGATTTGCTGTTGTGCTGTGTTTGTGCAGGATTTGGTGGAGGGTTTTGCTGAGCAGGCAGTGCAGGAATCCACTGAGCCTCTGCTTTGTGCTCTCAGAGCTCTCAGCTGATGCCCTGGGTATCAACCAGGCTGGGATTCATTTCCAGTTTGGAATCCAAAGTCGTGTTGGTGCTTGGATACTGTGGGACAAATAATTTTTGATAAAATGTATCAGAAATATCAATAACAGCCTATAACTGGAAAAAGTCATCAGGTTGAACGATAATATTACTTGAGGGGAGATGTTTTTTGGTGGTTCCTCACCTTCCCTGCCAGCAGAAGGTGCTTGCAGGGTTCTCTTGCAGCTCTGCCAGGGACACAGGAGCTTCCAGAACCTCTTGGAACAGCTCTTGGAAGTCCAACAATCAAACCCCTTTTGCTTTTGCCTTAAAAGCTTTTCGAGAGCTTCTCGCTGCTGCTTCATCTCTTTCCTCCTGGGATCTCTTTTCTCCTTCCTGGTTTGCTCTGAACAAATGGTTCCTGATCTGAGGGGTCTGCACAGCCCTGCTTCACTTGCAGTGATGGGGAGAGCCTGAGCTCTTGCTGGTAAAAATAATTCCAGGGACAACTCTGATTTCCAGGTGTGCCAAATGCCAGCTTGCAGTGCTGGCACTGACCTTGTCCCAGCAGGAATAAATGGGATGCAGTGCTGCTAATGGATGGGATTGGGCTTTACAAGGAGCTGCATGAGAGCTCTTCACTTTTATTGCCTGAGTTCTGCCATGGCCTTGCCTCCCCAGCATTGTTTGACTGTATTGACTGAGGAGCAAGATCATAAAAGCAGCAATTAAACCCTGGATCCTCCTTCCTGATAAGACTTTATGGCCATTCATTTTCCACTTATTTAATTTTCCCAACTTAGTTGTGGTAATTTCCTGTAGGTTTTCTTTCATTCTCCCAACCACAAAAAAAAGGTTCTTTTAAAGTGAAAATGAGCATTGCCTTTAATTTGTGTTCATGAATTTTAAATTGACTTGATGCTTGCAGTGTTTGAGATCTGCCAAGTGTATGGATTTTCCTATATCCAAGCAATGAATCATGGAGAAGCATTTCTTTGGGCAGAATATATTGATTGATTGAAAATGCATTAAGATTTTTTTTTTAATTTATCTATGCTATTCCCTGGCTAAAAAGTGGGATTTGCAAAGCCTGGTACAGTTTACCCATGAACATTTTATAAGGCCACTTAAGCCATGAAATATTATCTTTATCCTTGCCCTTGGCAAGGGCAGGGAGGGGAGGATGGATGGGAATGCAGGAGACGTTCACATGCAGCAGGACTTGTGACTATAACTGGGCAAAGGGAGATCTCTCAAAGGCTTTTTTCTGTCAAGTGACCCAGAAATGGGCAAGAGCACAGAAAGTGGATTTGTCAGAGGAAAAACTATGGGAGTAAGCTGGCAGCAAATATGGAAAAGGAGAAAAAACTAGGATGCAAAAGTCCTGGATCCAAGAGAGTGCAGGTAATCCAAAAGGCTGTTGGTGAGTTCCAAGATGAATTTGCAGCGTTCCCAGCTCTTGGCTGCCCATTTCAGTTGTTTGTAAAAGAGATTCCCAGCTATGGCTGGGGTTTTCAAAGGAGCCTGCTCTGGGCTGTCAGTGATGTTTGGAATATTAATTCCTGCAGCAGTTAACTTGGGAACCATTGGATTGTTTGCTGTACAAACCCCTCTTTGCCAGGGAGCCTAAGAGGGAGAAAGGAACATCAGTGCCATGGAATATTTCATATTCCTGCCTGACAGCCCTTGGGCTGATGAGAGGTGATGATTTTGTGCTTTGTGCTCTGAGCTGAGCACGGAAGGACCTTGGCCCAGAAGGGCTGGCGTTCCTGGAGCCAAGGCTGCAGTGGAATTTGGACACTGCAGTCCAAGAGTGAAGTTCTGCAAGCCCTGCCTTGTTAGTGAGGTGCCAGGCACAGCTGGGGTGAGTGCCAGCCCTTGCTCAGAAGCACTGCTGGGTCCTCCTCGGGAGAAGATCCCATGGGATCACTGACACCCCTGTGGGACAGCCCTGCTGTGAGCACAGGGGTGAGAATGTGATGGCAGAGGCAGAACACACCTTGGATCTGGAGGTTTTCTTCAGCTCAGAGTGGCTTCTTCTAAATCCTGTGGAAAAAATGATCCCTGGGATTGTTTGTGCCTTAGGAAGGAGCAATCCTGGTTTGCTCTGGTTTGTTGGAGGTTTTTGGAGCTGGCAAATCCACCAGGTCAGCAGTGCCCAAGCAAGTGCCCTCTGCTGGGACAGCAGCAGTGGCAGCAGGGAAGGGACCCTGGGGCCAAAGGCACGGGGCAGAGGAATCCCTCCACCCCAGCTTCACCTGGCTCTGGCACAACTCCATGGAGAAAGGGAACAGCCCCCACAAGTCAACACTTTGCACAGGAAAAAAATGCACTTTGCAGGAAAAAATGTGATGTGCAGGGAGGTGTTGGCAAGGTCCTGGCAAAACTGGTGGTCTTTCCTTAAATCCAGTTGAACCATCAGACTGCCAAGGATCCCCAGCTGGGCCAACACTGATGGATTTTTCCAATTTTAAAACTCTTGCACTGCACCGAGGTAAT